TCGCCGTTGCCAGGCAATACGTCTTCAACCACCGTACTCCCTCTGCCACAATCTGCATCGGAGCCGATCAAAGTAGACGTCGCATGCCCCAAGCCCACCGACGATGTTCTCGTACCGGACGATGGACCTGTCTTCAGAGCGACAATCAAGTCATTGGAGCAAAAGACGGGTAACATGCGGACGCAGATGAAGCGCGTGCTCAAGATGGCTAAACAAGCACACGAGGCACAACAGGAGGCGAACAAGAATTTTTCCGAGTTCATTGATACTCTTCGGGAAGCCTCTTCGACAAACGCCAATGCTGTTCAACCAGCCATTGAACATTACTTTGACAAGATTGCTCGGGAAATCCTTGCTTATGAGCGGACAAACACTGTCAACCTGAAGCGGATTGTGATCGATCCACTGGACAAATTCTACACGGTGGACATCAAGCAAGCCGAAGCCAAGAAACGAGACTTTGAAGAGGAAAGCAAGGATTACTATGCTTACGTCTCGAGATATCTCGGTCAGCGACACGACTCCGTCAAGTCTAAGAAACTGGCAGAGAGCGACTCAAAGTACCAAACCAAACGTCGTAACTTCGAGCTCAAGCGATTCGACTACTCCAGCTTCATGCAAGACTTGCATGGCGGCCGGAAAGAACAGGAAGTGCTGTCCCACCTCACGCGGTACGCTGATGCTCAGACGAAGAGCTTCCTCGAGGCGGCGAAGAAGATTGATACTCTTCTACCGCAATTGGAGGCACTATCAAGCGAAGTACAAGAGGCCGATAAGGAATATCAGTACCAAAGGCGCGAGCGTGAAGAAAAGAGACGACTGCTCGAGAAAAGCAACCAGCCGTACAATGAGCCCGATCCCGTGCCGGTATCTAGTACGAGCAGTGGTCAAGTTGCGAGCTCAACCGCAAATGCGTGCGTTTCCGATAGTGATCTAGGCCGTGCCGACAGCACAGGATCTCAACTGAAGATAGCAATGTCCTCTGGTTCGAATCCTTCGCTTTCAATGGCTTCCCCCGAACTATCTCGGTCCCCGGGTAGTCTGGGCAATTCTTCTGTTGGAAGTCCCGCTCAAGCCTCAAAATTCAAAGGAATTCGTGACTTGGAAGAGAAAGACTATGGACAATCATCCGGCGCCAGCAGCACCCAGCGTAAAGAAGGCCTACTCTGGTCTCTTAGCAAGGGCGGAAGCAATCACGTCGACCCCCGCAACCTGAACAAGCAGGGTTGGCACAAGTAAGTTCACCTGGGAAACCCCGTGGCATTTTGCCCGCTCTGACAAGCCGCAGGTTCTGGATTGTTCTCGATCAGGGCAAGCTCTCGGAATATAGCAACTGGAAACAGAGGCTAGATTTGCACAACGATCCAATCGATTTGAGAATGGCATCCGTAAGAGAGGCGCGAAATGCCGAGCGTCGATTCTGCTTTGAAGTCATCACGCCCCAATTTAAACGTGTCTACCAAGCAACATCCGAAGAAGACATGAACAGTTGGATAACGTCTATAAACAACGCACTGCAGAGTGCGGTCGAAGGCCGCATCATGAGAGAAAAGTCCACGCCGAGCGATTCAGGGCACATCAAGAGAGATATTGGCTCAATCCTCACCGGCAAGAGCCCATCTGTTGGCCATAACAGCCACCACAATCACACGAACCCAAACAGCGCACCCGTACGTCGAATCACTGTGGGCGCTCGGCCCAGCACGCATCGATCGACTAGCTCAAGTTTTGACGAGAATCCCGACAAGCTGCTCCAATTGCTTCGCGACAACGACCAAGGGAATTGCTGGTGCGCTGACTGCGGGTCGGGCACCAAAGTCGAATGGGTCTCAATCAACCTAGCCATTATTCTGTGCATTGAGTGTAGCGGCATTCACCGTTCCCTCGGCACGCACATCAGCAAAGTGCGGTCTCTAACCCTGGACATCAACTCCTTCACCTCTGATATTGTCGAGCTCTTGCTTCTCGTTGGAAATAGGGTGTCCAACATGATTTGGGAAGCGAGGCTCGAGCCTGGATACAAGCCGACACCCCAGGCAACCCGAGAGATGCGGTTGAGGTTCATCACGGCAAAGTACGTGGATAGGGCATACGTTGAGCCGATTTCAGCCACTCTTTCGCGTTATCCAAATCCCGAAGATACTTTGCTGGCGGCTATCAAGAAGAACGAGATTCAGCAGGTGATATACGCCCTGGCTCTGAGAGCCAGTCCCAATGTCACGGATAGATCTCGTGGAACCCACGCAGTTTTCCTGGCGCTGGCGGCTGCGGATCCCGCGTCACCTTCTCCCACTCCTGGGCAACCTCCAGAGACAGATAGAATGGTGCCATTTCCGGTGGCAGAAATGCTGCTACAGAACGGCGCAGAAGTTCCGTTGACGATGCCAGCTTTCCCCTTGAGCCGAAGCGCGCAATTGTATATTGAAGAGAAACGAGGACGGAGCACCGGATTTTCAAACGACAGCGTCGGGTCACTGCCAGGCAATCTCAGTCCCAACGAAAAGCTACAGCGGGAAAGAGAAGCCCGTTTACAGAAGAGAGTAAGCGCGGGAGGACGTCTGGCTAAGAGCCCGATTCCGGAAAGGTAGCGACCTACCTGTCTCGAGCGGCTAGGACAACTGAATATGTGCCTGGCCTTTGCACTGCACACGAGACGTAGGTCTTCTCTCGAAGTTCACTTATCAACAGACGACTACGACTTTGAGTGTGACGATGGATGAAAACATCTTGGCAGTGACAAGAGGCGAAGAGGAAATGCTTGGCATACTTTGACACTGTCGTTACGAGAGGACATATTGCGTTTCGAGGGCCTGGAGTGATTTTTCTTTACCGGGCGACAGGCTACCTATTTTCATTGCGGGACATGAGGAGAGTCACGGGACCATGTTCTCACATATAGCATGTGTGCTCTTTCGATGATAGGCACGAGCGACCAGCAGGTGTATTTGGAGTAGTCCTTCATTGGATACGGCCAAGGGTTGGAGAGGCAGAGACGGCCGTTGTGCGCGAGTGCTTGTCTGTGTGTGTGTGTGTGTGTGTATGTATTGATAGTAATAGTAATGAAATGATGAATACAAAGTTAACTAGTACGTTTTGGCTGGTCGAGGCATTGAACACGGAACAGTCGTTGCCACTGACAGCCTGAATAAAAGAAGAAAAGGTAACAGAGGAATGGAATCGTGAGTCGTTTGGTGACAGGTGAGCCACTCACGTGTAAATTCAGCGGGGTTTGAATCACACCTCCCGATTTCTGTGGTATAATACTTGGCCACAGCAGGCGACGGGAGGCGCACCTTCTCTAACGAAGTGGCCAAAAGGACTAGGGCAGAGGGTCACATGCGATGAGGACTTGCCCGTCTCTCTCTCTCTCCCCCCCTCTCTCTCTATGGAGATTCATCGTTGGAGGGTGTTTGGAGGGGGACATCACTATTCGAGCGGCACATGATGAGATGTCTTAGGTTGGCGAATCGAGATGGGGAAGAAGCGGGTTTTTGCATAAAGCTCGTTCGCCAACCCGTTCGGGACGATTTGAACCTGTCAAAGAACCATGTCGGAAGGGACAGTGACCAGAATGTCGGAATTCTCGAGATGATGAAGAAGCACTTGCATGAGCAGTAGCCCGTATGATTTATGTGTTTGTCTCTTAATCATCTGCTGGTGGTTGAGTGGGTCAAAGCAAGCATCGCAGGACGTGACAGCTGAGGTTTGTGAGAAAACATGGCCACATGAGACCTGTTCTTCCGCCACATGGTTCATGTTAGAGCGGAGGCGGGAAGGGAAGGGAGAGCTATCTCTTTCACGCGGGGCGGTTCTTGCTCACACTTCATGGGTTGGCGGCGCATTCATATGGAAGGGTATGGGAGTCATTCCGATTCCCAAGGAAAAAAACCTGGAGTGTTCAATCAACATTTCATTTTCTCACACAGTCGTTGTTCTCGTCCTCTTGCTTGTTGAAACACCAATACGCTCGTCGTTTCGATTTTGTGCGACCCCGTTAACAACGACCACGACCACCTCTCGACGTTACCTTGCCTCTGCACCTTATCTTATCTGCACTTGTGTCTGTCAGATCTGGACGCGACCTGCGGCCTCGAAATCCGAGAAAAAAAGGACTGAACTGGGAAAACCCCCCTTCGAATTCCTGCATTTAGCCAACCGGGCAGAGGACAAGAAGAGAGAGCTTGCAGGAAACAGCCGATGACCGCATGTCTAGGCTGCAGCGCTGCAGTCATTCGATCCTCGAGGACCCACTTTGTCCTGGCATGAGGTGGTCCTCGATCCGAGAAAAGGAAGGCCCTGTCAACCTACAGCTTGTCTGAGGCGGTGTTCATAGTTCAGCCCAGTACGGGTGACGGATCCAGCTTGCCAGCCCAGCCCAGGCCAGCGGACGGGACCCCCAGGACCAGCACCAGAACCAGCAGCAACCAGCACCGGGGCACAGGGACAACCTGACGAGACCCGGTAGCTTGCACAGGTCAATTGCCAGGGGCGTTTGATTGGTTCTTCCACTTTTTTGCCTGGCCTGTTCGTTAGCTCGAGCACCAGCACGGCAGCACCTCGAGGCCCTCCTCTCCACTTTGGGGAACTGACTTCCTGGGCCCGTCCAATACGCAGGCCGCAGTGCGCAGTTGCTCGTCCATTTCCCAGGCTGCACTCCACGCTCACTCCTCGGGGCTTGCCTTTCCTGAGCAGCTGGTTTATTAACGGGAAGAGCCTCTCCATCCGTCATCTCTCCCTTACCTTAGGCAACACTTCCAACATCTCACATCCCCAATTCGTTATAACATTCACACACGTTATACGTTATCCCCAGAGCTGTGTGCACAAATCGTTTAGCCGTACAGAGGTCACTAGCTTGTCATAACCAGAGATCGCCACATACCTGGTATCCATTAATCACCTCCGACGTAACCATTCCTTACCTTACTGTACTCGCCTGCTGCCTTCGAGATCCCACTTGCGCGAATCCAACAAGGCCGTAGTATTCACCAACCGAGGCCATGGCTCCTCCTCAATCCGAAAAGAGCCAATTGAAGCGAACTAGAGTGAGTCGTCTACTGATCTGTCCGGCCTTCTGGTGTAAAATCCTAAATCGTCTTTCCCTGCCAAAGGGCTCTCTGCCAGAATCCGAGCTGGATGCGAAGAAGCCCCGCCGCTCCGACAGGACATCACCGGAACCCGAGCACAAGACGCCAGTCTCCAAGAAGCACCAGCTTCCCTCACCAGTCACAAGGTCCGGCGATTCGGACGAGGTCTACAAGGAGCCCACCGCCACACCCCCGGAAGGACGGCCCAGTCAGGTTAACCACCGCGATAAGGAGGACGCGTCGCAAGTCGTTAACAATATCTCATCGCCTCCCCAGGAGGCTACCCAGGCCTTCTCGCAATATGCTAGCGAGATCAAGGACGCCCTCTCGGACGAGGTCGAGGACGAGGTGAAGGAGGGTGTATGGGGATACTTGTTCCCGCTCGATACCAAATATGGCAAGGTTGTGGTCATGAAGAGGCGGGCTGCCTGCCCCTTGCCGGACGCCCTCGAGGTGAAAGAGTCAACAAGCCTGGCTCAGAAGGGAAAGTCGTCCCTGCAAAAGGAGGAAGAGGCATATGAGCGCACAAAGGTCAAGGGAGTTGCCTCGGGCGGTTACTTGATTGGACGTCATCCGGAGTGCGGTAAGCCCGTAGCGTGTTTCCGGGCGTAGCCGTGGTGGTGTTGGTACTGACAGCCCGCAGACATCGTCGTGGACGATCCCATCATCTCTAACAGACATTGCCTGATCTTCACCGAGAACAAGGGCGGCGATACCGTTGCGATTCTGGAGGACCTGTCAAGTAACGGAACCTTCGTCAACGAGGCCATCGTGGGCCGCAACAAGCGGAGAGAGCTGCAGGAACAGGACGAGATCGCAGTTATTGACAAGGCTCGTTTTATCTTCCGATATCCGAAAAGTCGGCAATCCAGCGCCTTCCTGAGTCAGTACACTCTACTAGAGAAGCTGGGCAAGGGCCACTTTGCCGAAGTGTTTTTATGTGTCGAAAAATCTACCGGCCAAAGGTACGCCGTCAAGATTTTCACGAAAACGACCGGCATGGAGGAGAGATCAAAGCAGGAGGGCCTGCAGCAGGAAATTGCTGTTCTCATGGGCGTCAGCCACCCCAACGTCCTCTGCCTGAAGGACACGTTTAACGAACGGAACGCCGTGTATCTGGTCCTCGAGCTAGCTCCTGAAGGCGAACTGTTTAACTTCATTGTCATGAGGCAGAAGGTGAGCGAGGACGAGACGCGCAAGCTCTTCAAGCAGCTCTTCCAGGGTATCAAATATCTGGTAAGTCCAAAATCACGCAAGTATCTGAGCTGAGCGTTAACGTACAGCAGCACGATCGCAATATTGTCCACCGAGATATTAAACCCGAGAACATTTTGATGGTTGACAAGGAACTCAATGTCAAGCTGGCTGATTTCGGCTTGGCGAAGATTATTGGTGAAGAGTCCTTCACAACCACGCTATGCGGCACACCCAGTTATGTGGCGCCGGAGATTCTGGCCGAGGGCAGACACAGAAAGTACACCAAAGCGGTAGATATTTGGTCACTGGGTGTCGTGCTATACATCTGCTTGTGTGGCTTCCCGCCCTTTTCGGACGAGCTCTACTCCAAGGAATTCCCTTTCACGCTGTCGCAACAGATCAAGAGCGGTCGTTTCGACTACCCCTCGCCCTACTGGGATTCCGTTGGCGACCCTGCTCGTAAGTGTCCTTGAAGTACACTTACTCTGTGCGAAAACTGACTTTTTATACCAGTTGACCTGATTGATTCTATGCTTGTTGTCGACCCCGAACGTCGGTATACTGTGGACCAGTGTCTCAACCATCCGTGGATGATCCAGAACCAGCCTGGTGTAAACGACAGCACTGATGGCCTTGTTGGTGGCATTCAAGGCCTGGACGTTCATCGACGAGGTGTGACCAGAGAACGTACACTACTGAGCTCCTTGAATTCGGTGCAGGTTACTACAAGGCCGCCTGTTGGGGACAGCAAGAAGCCCGTTCACATTTATGCTAAGAACACAAAGAAGATGACGCCAAAAGAGGCTGACCCTCACGGGCAGAGGGCTGTTGGTGAGTTCGTGGAGATGGGCGGAAAGGGCGACGAGGCGCTCTATGGGGCCGATGGGGAGAGCATCTACTCGAAGAATGATATTGCTAGCGCCGAGAAGAACGGGGGGAAGTAATGCTGTGTAATGTTTCTTGTGGGTTCATTGTTTGGGAGCATGGGTTATGGGATGTGTCTGAGGACAGCATCGGTGCTGTTTTGGGTTTCTTAGCTTCCTGGGTCTACGTCTGGCCATCCAGGCAGAAGCCTTGCTTGTGACATAACAGTCATTGTTTTTGGTAGTGTCAAAGGCTCAGAGAGATGAGTCGTGCAGTATAGCATTGGACGACCTCTACAGACACGCGGGCACGGATGGGCAAAAGTTTGGAGTTTCACGCTGTTTTTGATCGAAGCACCCACCGGGCCCAATACAACAATAAGCTTAAACGACATGCAAATTTGTTTCTGAGAACATGATGGGTCAATAGCATGTGCTCGCGGTTGCAGATACTCGAAAGAGTTGAGAGCATCGCGATAAAGCTCGCAGCGCTTACAGAGTAGAGTAAGCCAGTATATTGGCGGCGTATCGGGCCCGGATAGCCCAAGAGGAAAGCGGTGGTACGCACCAACACCTCGGCTCCGCGAGGAAACAGGGCGGCGCCAGGCTCTTGTGGGGTCTCACCGGCGTACCAGATTCACGGGGTGGGGCCGGAACAACGACGTGTTTTCCTTACCTTGGGTACTCATCCCATTTTCTTCCTGATCTTCGTTTTTAGCAAGATTACAGAGTTAATTTCAGAGCCGAAATTGAACTGTAACAATGATTCAGCTTTCTATAGATGCCAAAGTCCATCCGTGAATGATTTGATGGATAGCTTGTAGTTTGGTACAGCGCCTGAAGTTCAAGACTGGCACCCCGCTTCCTTCACCGCCTTCGCCTACAGCCCCGTTTACGGCTTTTCGCACAACTGCAAAAGTGGCAGAAAAAATTGCTTACCACCACCCCTCCATCAACGACGACGCAGAAGGAGTCGGCCTTCGCAATCGAAGCAGTTGGACTCACCGCACGACAGACCGACCCCCTGTCTCCGTTTTCTCAAACGACACGCCCCCTCTCTCTCTCTCATTCTTTCACACTTTCGGCCGTCTGGTTTTTCCCGGGTTTGGAACCTCCTCTTTTTGGTTTTTCTTTCCAACTCCCCCGATCAACCGCATAAACCACCGACTTGAACCCACCCACCCCCTCTTCGTCTTCGAACCCCAAACCCCCGAATACCACCGGACATCATGGCGGCGGGAGCGAAGCAACAACAGGCGCAGCCGCAGCTGCTCTTTGTGGACGGCTCCTTCCAGGAGCTGGCCCGCGAGATGGCTGAGTACCTCCACATCGCCGACGAGATCAAGCCCCTGGTCGAGAACGAGGCCAAGAAGGAGGAAGTGCTGAGCAAGCTGGTGGCTAAGTCGGCGGCGCTGTCATCGGTGCCCGAGAAGGAGTTCACGGCGGCCTCGAACCTCATGGTCCACCTCGTCCTGCAGTCCGAGGAGCCCAAGAAGCACCTGCCGGCCCTGTGCAGCGCCTTCAGTAAGCCCATCGCCTCGAGCCCCGTCAACGGCGTGGGTCTGAGCCTCAACGCCCTCAGCACCATCTTCAACCTCATTAGCCCCGAGAACCCGATCCGTTTCAACGTCTTCATGGCCATCCTGCGCTTCCTCAAGTCGCATGGCATGTACGACGCCGTTCAGCCCTACCTGAAGCACCTCCCTAGCTGGTTCGAGGAGTGGGCCACCGGCGAAGAGTTCCAGAGACAGATGTACGAGGAGATTGCTGAGGTTGCCAAGGAGGCTGGCAAGGAAGAGTGAGTTTTTTTTTTTTATCATATGATATACCCGGTCCATGTCGCATCATGGCGAGAGAATCTGGAGGAACAACAGAAATGCTGACACTATGTGCTACCTAAATAGGGAGAGCTACGAGTATATTCTCAAGGCCCTGCGCACCTTTGACGCCGATGATAAGGAGGAGATCGGCTCTGAGGACGCCCAGAGACTATCCCTCCGCGCGGTCCGCGACGCCCTCCTGTCCAACACACACTACCTCTTCACGGACATCCGCAGCATACCCTCGGTCCAGAACCTTTCCGAAACCCACCCCGTCTACTCGCAGCTCCTCGACGTCTTTGCGGAGCAGGACCTCGAGGACTACAACGACTTTAACGACGAGCACTCTGGCTTCGTCGAGAAGGAGAACCTCGACCACGACAAGCTCCACCGCAAGATCCGCCTCCTGACTTTCGCCTCCCTCGCTGCCCAGACGACCTCGCGCCGCATCGAGTACGCCGCTGTCGCCAAAGCCCTCCAGGTCCCCGCCGAGGAGGTTGAGATGTGGGCCATTGACGTGATCCGCGCCGGCCTCGTCGAGGGCAAGCTCTCCCAGCAGGACCAAGTCTTCCTCGTCCACAAGGTCACCTACCGTGTCTTTGGCACGCGGCAATGGCAGGAGCTCGCCACCCGCCTCGACTCGTGGAAGGGCACCTTTACGAACCTGTACGATGTCATCCGCAAGGAGCAGGCCAATGCAAAGGCCCAAAAGGAGCGCGAGGCGCAAGAGGCGGAGCGCAAGCAGCAGGGCGGTGGCGACGGCGGCCGCGACGGCGGTCGTCAGCAGAGGGGACAGGGACGTCGCGATAACAACCAGCAGCGTGAGCCCAGGGAGCCTCGGGAGCCCCGGGAGCCCAGAGAACCCCGGGAGCCTAGAGAGCCGCGCGAGCCCAAGGAGCGGACGGAGGACGACGATTAAAGGGAGAGGGCATGAGTTTGGTCCGTTGTTGATGAGGAACTTGCCTTGTGCTTAGCTTGGCTTTTTTTCCCCTCTTGACCTTGAAGGTTCCTCCTCCCCTCCACGCGGCTTGCGGGGGTTTCAAAGTATGATGGGGAAGCGAGAGCCACTTATACGGCGAAAGAAGACAGAAAGGGTCTTTGTGAGGGGACTGGGAAGAGAGGAAACTTCGTTCGTGTTTATGTAATTACGGCGAGGGAAAAGGGAAGAGGGGACGTCCATGAGACCGCACGGAATCCACATCTAAGAGCTTTGTGTCTTTGGGGACATGTTGGCTGCTGCATCGCGGGAAGAAAGAAAAAGCAAAGGTCTTTTTTTTTTTTTTTAAATTTGTTTTAGGGAGTCCCCGAATGAATCCGGCGTAACGAAGAGATTACGATACAGACGTCTTTTTTTATGCTTGACTTTGATACTCCTGTCTTGGGCTGTTGTTGGTTGATGACTTTTGAACGACTAACGGCGCATTTGATACATCCACTGCTGATGGCATAGACGTCACAGGCATTTCACTAATAGTAGGCCCACCACAAGGCGGGAATTCAACTGTGAGAAGAGCGTTTAGTTGGTGATTCATACTTCGCTGTTCAAGTCTTTATTCTTTCCACAGTTTGATTGAAAAACTCAAAAGTATCTATCTAGGATATACAATAGACAACGACAAAAGAGAAAACAAATGGTCCTTTTAGAGTCCGAAACTTCTTATACAAGCACACCATAAGCGGCAAGGGGCCTCTGTTGAGAGTCTATGCCAAAACAACGAACCAACCACCTCCTCCCCCCTCACTCGTTTGCCACCGATTGTCTTTTTAAAATACCTTCCAGACACTCTAGTGAGCTTGACATTCGCTTTCAACGCCCCGTGACACTGGGAAGACGACGTTTCCCAGAGTCACAGGGCGGGAGCAAAATAGGATGACGCACGCCAGTTCCTAGCCGACAGCGGTGTGTCGCCATCCCCTTCTTCTAACCTGTACTCGCATCTCTTTGGCCGAGTAGCAGCTGGGGGTCACATCCTTCCCCAATGCCAAAACTCAGATACCCAAGCGCTTAGAGAGCTCAAAGCGCGTCTTGCTATACACGTCCTGCGGCGGGGGTGTGGCGTCGAGCTTGACGACGCGGCCCTCCTTTTCAAAGTAATCCACAACGGGCATGCTCGTCTCGACAAACGTGCGGAAGCGCTTGCGGATACTCTCGGCGTTATCGTCGGCGCGGCCGCTCGTCTTGCCGCGCTCGAGGAGGCGGCTCTCCATGACATCCTCGGGGCAGTCGTAGAACAAGACCAGCTTGGCGGGGCAGACGGCTTCCTCGAATTTCACAGCCTGGTCCATCTTACGGGGGAAGCCGTCAATCAGGAAGCGCGCCTTGCCGCCCGGGTTGGTCTTAATCGTCTCCGTCATGGCGTTCTCGAGGAGCTGGACGGTGACTTCCATGGGCACGATGAGGCCGTCCTTGATGTAGTCCTTGATCAGCTGGCCAAATTGGGAGCCGGGGCGGTCCTGTTCTGCGCGGAGGAGGTCGCCGGCGGAGAGGTGGGTGAAGCCGTAGTCGGAGACGAGGCGGGCGCACTGGGTTCCCTTGCCGGCACCGGGGCCGCCGAGGACGAAGAGGACTGTCACATCGGAGGGGGAGAAGGTCGGGGTCGACTTTGTCGGGGAGGGGAGGGCTTGGTTAGCCTCGGGGGCGGGAAGAGCGGCCATTTCTGTGGTTGGGTGTGGTTTGTCAGTCAAGTGTTTCTGAGGCTGCAACGGATTGTGGAGGATTTGTTTTCTGCGCTCGTCTTGTTGTTGTTGGGGGGGGGGAAAGACTGCGTGTTGCCCCGGGGCCAAAGAGAATTGTTTGGTTGGAGAGAGGGTTTCGACAAAAGATGGCTTACCTGCTCTCTGATCGACGAGGAGCTTATAAGCAAAGCTACTAGCACCGACGACGACGAGGAAGGGCCAGAACTTGACGCCCGAGGACTTCTTCGGGGGTTCCGAGGAGTAAAAGCGACGCGCCGGGAGTCGCTGCTGGAGACGGAGAGAAGATCGAGTAGTGGAAGTCAAGATATTAGAAGAACGGATGGGGGAGATGGAAGAAGCAGAAGCTCGGGAGAGCAGACGGGGCGCGAAGGAGTGCATGACGGGCTTTATGGCAATAAGTGACGGGTGGCAGGGCGGCTAGTTCGGGGGTTGGATGTGCTTGTCAATGCAAAGTGGGCTACACCAAGGACAACAAGAGAAAAGAGTGACAACTTGGTTCTGGGGTGTGGTGGTGGTTGTGGTGGTAGTTGGTGGTTTCGAAACCTGTCCTGCGTTCATGGCAGCTAGGGTCAGCTAAGGTAGGGAAGTGTCGGCGTGGCTGCGAGTACAATTTTGGATGGCCCATCACCTCCTGAGAGTGGGGCAGATTTGGGGGAATTGGGGACTGGGATTGGCATCTGACATCTGGCTTCCAGACCCCCTGACCCCCTGACCACCCTGACGTATGCCCACTTGGCAAGAGTGCTGAGTGCGCGCTGGGCCCTGGGGTTTTTGGCGCTATCACGTGGGGGGATCGTTGGGATAAGCTTTCGTCCGCTGGTTGAAATCATCCTATTCCCGCCGTCCGTACCTTCGGTAAGCCAAGGTACGTCTGTTCTTCCCGTGGGCTTCTTACGGTGCTGGGACCAATTACTCACTCCTTTTCATATAGAAGGAAAAGCGAGAACTTCGCTTGGCAGACTGACTTTCTGAGCTCACTTGGAGATTCAGATGTCTTCTCGCATATCTTGTCCTCCATAAAGCTCTACGGAAGGAAGCTATTTCCGACAGACCGTCTCACTCGGCTGCATTTCATGCATTGGATCTTTCATGAGACTTTGTTTCAATCATACCACATAAACAGTTCCTGCTTGAACATATCACAGTCGTAGTTTACAAGGAGTCGACAGCTAGGATATCCCGATCACATGCCGAATAGATACGTACATATGCTGTATGAGTTGCCCTGGGTTGGTGTCATCCCAGCTGCCGGGTCGTCTGGTGACGGACGGACGCCTTACCCGCATGATCCGACACAGCTTTACCGACGCAAGCGCGGCTTAGGCGGATGAGAGTTGCGGGCGGCAGTAACTTCGGAGTGACTCTTGCGAGTAAGGACTTGTTGACAGACTTTTGTACCGCGCCGTACCCCCGAGGCCTCCATCGGCATAAAGAACAACTAATGAATGTGCTTGGCTGTCTCATGCTCATCATGCTAGATCAAGTTGACAGGACTTGGAGGGTGCTGCAACCCGGCTCGCACTTTGATGCCGGCCGTATCAAGAATGAGGAAGTTGATATCTCACGCGGCTGCGGAAGCGGTCCGGCGGGACGATCCCGGCTGCGACTCTGAGCCCTGTGAGCTGACTTGATAGTGCGAAGAGCAGCTTGCGTAAACGAGATGGATGCTGTCAAGCAACAGACTATTAGCTCTTGCTCTCACATGAGCATTGGCCCGTTCAGTTTCACTCGCCTATGCAGCTGTCTACAATATGCCAGATAGTAGGGGTTGTGAGTGGTCACAAGAAGGATTCATTGATTCTTCCCACGCTGCCCTTTGTGTGTATCGTACAGTATGTCTTGTTAGATATCAACAGGTCTGGAGTAAGTCCACGTAGACACAACAGTACATTTTATAGAAGATCGGCTTAGTGAGTAATCTTCGTGTAGTGTGATGATATAGACCTGGCATTATAGAGGTCTAAATGGTCGGTAACAGGGGTATGGACATGCGGCTAGGTATGATACGAATCTGCAAGGTCTCGCTGTCTCCTTGGTGAGGGGTTCAGACCAGAAGGGTTCTATAATTTACACTGGTGAGGGAGTCGAATTGCCAGCTATGATTGAAAGGAACTCAAAGTCGGAACTATTCGACGTAATTTACAGACAGACGTTGTATGCCGCGAGGCTAGAAGCGCGTGACCGAACACGTGTCTGATATGGCCAGCCATATCTCACGTCAACCTTGCCAGCCCTCCCCAGCATCACTCAGTCCTATCAACGAGAGACGACGAAGGTTGCATATTTAGGCACGTCTTGTCTCCATGCTATCAGAAGCTACCACAGCAGCAGCAGCTTATTCTAGCAGATTCCCAAAGGAAATAAGCACAAGGAACTTTTGGTGAACCCCAAATCGCATTTGGAGAAGTACTGAAGATTGACTTATCGGCATCATGTCGAGACTCAAATTTGGCGTAGGGCCTACATGCGGCTTGCCCGAGAAGCGAGTGCGAGCTGAGAGAGGCTGAGATGCCGCCGAGCCGAGTGGCTGCACTGCGTCGAGTAAGACACAGCTTGACGACGAAGGAATTCAACCCTGTCTTAGCTGCCCCTCACGGAGCTATACTCTTTGGGCTAGCTGGGCGCGCCGGGTTCTTCTTGATAAGACGTTGGGATCCTCTCTGTTTTTGGTAGAAATGCATGGTCCAATAGTCGTTATTTTACAAAGCTGTCAAGAGTCCAAGACTGTCATCCAAGACATACGATATCCAGCTTGGTGTATACGAGATACATACGATATACAGTATACCGAGCTCCAACAATGCCCGTACTCAAACCCAACACAGAATTCGGGCATTGCGTGCCCCCGGAGACGCAGTATGGAATCACCACATACGCACCAGGATGGGAAAACGCCATCAAGTTCAGGGAAGGCGACCGAGCCATAATGGCTCGTGTGGTGCACATATATCCGAGATTTGGGCCTTTTGGACCCGTTTCCAAGGTCAGTTTGTCTGAAGAACCCCCCCCTGAATCGACAAGACTACTCTGGTGCACAGATGCGGAACCTGCCATACTGAGAAACATGACTGACAAGAGAATATAAGACATTCATGGCCATATGTGCTGAGATCAAAACCCCTGAGGGCCATGGCGCGCTCTTCTTCACCTCCCCGATCTCCTTCGCCACCGTCCGGGCCCACGCCCTCCACCCCCACCGAAAGCAGCAAGTCCTGGCCGACGAGGATCTGGGCTACCGGTGCGTGGAACTCGGCGGCGTGCGGCTCTACCTCGTCACCTACCCGATGCCCAAGACGCCCGGCGTCATCGGCGCCTGGCAGAACCCCGGCATCGGCGTCTCTATCCGTCTGGCCGAGAAGCTACTGGCGGATATTGACTCGCTGAGAGAGGTCGAGTTCGGCGGCGTGGTAGACTCGCCACCGCCGACAGAGTACCTCCCCGAGGGAGAGGCGCACGGCAAGCTGAGAGAACGCATCAGGGGACTCCTGCACAGGGCCGCCATCGACCCGGACGAGGTGAAAGTCGAGCCCGGGGACGTCTTTTTGTATCCCACAGGTATGGCCGCCATCTTTGCCACCCACAGAACTCTGCTCGAGTACCGCCCCGGCAGCGTCGTCATCCTCGGCATCGCCTTCCACAGTACCGTGCACTACCTCCAAGATGCCTCGCCGCATGGCTACAAGCACTTTGGCCCCGTCGACGCAAAGGGCGTGGGCGAGTTCGAGTCTTGGCTCGACACGGAAACGGCATCGGGGAGAGATGTGAGCTATGTGATTGCCGAGTTCCCCAGTAACCCTCTGCTGGCTAGTATTGATATTCGCCGTATTAGAAAGCTTGTAAGTGATAATATCAGGAGATGCCGAGGGGGGGGTTGCGCAAAAATTACTGAAAGCTAACACCCATTTGTAGTCCCAAAAGCACAAGTTTGTTCTCGTGCTCGATGATACAGTCGGTTCCTTCAGCAACATCGACGTCCTGCCCGGATCCGACATTCTCGTCTCCTCGCTGACAAAGTCCTTCTCGGGCTACGCAAACGTCATGGGCGGCAGCATCGTCCTCAATCCGCTCTCACCACACTACCCTGCCCTCTCACTCCTTTGGTCAAAAACGCACCACAACGAGCTCTTCCTCGGCGACGCCGAGGTGCTCCTCTCCAACTCGGAAGACTACCTCCCGCGTACCGCGATCCTGAACCGCAACGCCGCGGCCATGGCCGCTCACCTCCACGCGGAAGCCGAGAAGAATCAGAACAACCCTTTTTCGTCGTCGTCGTCGTCGTCGTCGTCACCAGTCGTAAAAGTCCTCTACCCGTCCGTCCTCCCAGACTATGAAACTTACAAATCCTTCCTCCGCAAACCTACCCCGGAGCTCCCCGACCCAGGAGCGGGGTGCCTCCTGAGCGTCGATTTCGACTCCGTGGACGCCGCGCGCGCATTCTATGACCGCTTGGCCTTTTACCCGGGCCCCCACCTCGGCGCGCACCGCACGCTCTGCCTGGCCTACAACACGCTCGCCTTAGGCAAAGACCCCAGCGAGGCGGCGTTCCATCGGTCGTATGGGATCTTGGAGGAGACGGTGCGCATCTCTGCCGGGCTGGAGGATGTGCAGGACCTCTTGGACACGTTGGATGATGCGTTGGCTGTCGCGAAGGAGGCCAAGACGAAATTGGACGAGGTCTCTAGGACCGTGGAGGCCGCGGCCGGTCTGGGTGTCGCTGCCTGATTACCTGTTGGCGTGGAACGGTACAGTCTAGCGTGCTTACCATTCAACTGTTGTCCTTCTTACATCAGTAGATAGACGTTCTCACTGCTGTTCTCGACAGAAAGCGTTGCTAGGTCCTCTAAAAGTATTTCTACAGGAGAATCCCTGCAATTGGGCAAAAATGCCACTTCGCCGTCAAACCGCATATGCATGTTGGTCCGTTTCGCAGGAATATGGTTCCATCCGTCCATCTTAGAAGAGGGGTTGTTGCCCGTATATGCTGACATAAAAGGAGCGATTAATCGCCCCATCATTCACTTCTCTCTGTATCTCAGTGCTTAATAGAGTCACCGCTTGATTCTGTTGTCAAAGTTGCGTCGGAACACGATCGAGGAAGATCCGAGACATTGGCTGAGAATCAAACGACGTAGACAAGTCCCTGGGAAAACAACATATAAAAATCATGGCTGAGGTCGTCCACGAGGTTATGATTGTGCCGGGAGATGAGGTATTTGATTCATAACACCTGCCGTCTGCTTCTACCTACCTCAGAAGTTCGAAGCTTATCTCTACCAAGCAGGATTTGGACCACGACGTATCAGATATGGAGGTAGGTCATATTTTAACCTTTGATCAAAGCCATAATCTCTATACGTTGGTGCCATACTGGAAAATCTCTGAAAGAATAGCAGAGCATTGCTTCGTCGAGTACAAGCATCACCGCTTCTATCCTCGACTACCGGATCGAGAATTGCAGAACGTACCACCGATGTAAAGACGGCAGTACGTACGCATTTTCCTCTTCTACTACAACTTTCACACCATACTTGGGACAACATTCGGATCTTGGGAAGCTGAGTTGAAGCAGAATACATCTTTCCCAACGATAAAAGAGAGAGCGACAGGTTAGGTGCGTATTCGCTTTCTGACGCACTCTTACATTCGCCCCTCCTGAGGAAGCACCTCATCTGATTCAACCATCTTTCTCGAGGAGCAGACTAGCAACATGAAATCTTCATCTACACTCTCGAAGGTAAACTCGGTCTGGCCCCTCCCTGCAAAGTGGACTCCAAAGTCGGCCGCGTCCTCGACGTCGGAACCGGCACCGGGGTTTGGGCCAACGATTTTGGAGACTTGCACCCCCAAGCTGAGGTATATTTGACCCTCCCCGTTTGGCTCAGTGGGCCGTCGTACATGAGTGGTCACGCGTCTAACATACTTCTCTTGCCAGGTTCTTGGTGTCGATCTCTCTGCTCCTCAGCATGATTTGTAAGTCGGTCTTGGGTATCAGATCAAGCACTTATTCAATTTCGCCTAGGCTGATACACGTGAACTTAGCGTCCCTCCAAATGTAAGGTTCGAAATAGATGATATCGAGGAAGAGTGGACGTACTCGAAGCCGTTCGACTACATTCACAGCCGCTTCATGAACGCGAGCATCGCAGACTGGAAGAAATATGTCAAAAAATGCTACAAGTTGGTGTTTTCCGAGCCCTTGGTCATCTAGTTAACCAACAGGTTCACAACTGACGTCGGCCACAGTAACACTGTCCCGGGCGGATACCTCGAGCCTCTCGAAAACCAAGTCGATCCCGTGTCCGACGACAACAGCCTTCCCAAAGACTCGTCGATTCTGGAGTACGTCCATCTCATCCGTTCCGGGTCCGAGAAAATGGGTCGTGTGTTCGTCGACGTTTCTACACTGAAGAGTCTCGTTATCGAGGCTGGCTTCGTTGACGTTGAGCTCCGGATATTCAAGTGGCCCATGAACGGTTGGTCAAAGGACAAGAGGTATTTCCTCCAGTTTACTTTCTCCATCTTCCTCATCCCCATTTGTATCGGGGACAGGCAGTCAATGGTCAAGCCGAAGGGGACTTACACCAACACCCCGCGATAGGTATAAAAAGCTCGGCCTCTGGTGCCACGAGAACTTCTCTAGCGCCCTCGAAGCCGTTTGTATGGCGCTGCTCACCCGTGTTCATGGTTGGTCCCGCGATGAAGTCGACGTCTTCCTCGTCAACGTCCGCAAGGATTTGAACAACAGGAGCTATCACGCCTACTTTCCCATGTACGTCCCAAACCTTTTCTTTGTACAAGCCATGAAAATTTAATCTTTTGCTGATTCACTTTTCTCCAGCTACTCGGTCGTCGGCCGTAGGCCTGAGAGGGAAGAAGCCACAGCCTCCGCTTAGTGCTGACCGAGTTCGTTCGTCGGGAAGATAAGATCAAAGCGAAATATGGGCAAGAGCTCATTGGTACTGGCAAGCTGAGGAAACAAGCATACGAAGGGAAGGCAAGGATTCAATGCGGATGATCTAATTCTGATCTCGCGATCTGTTGTAAGTGAAGCAGTGCGGGCTAAGAAGAACCACCGGCCATATTGAGAGTACAGTCACCAGATCTTACGCATACGCCAAACTGGGACAAGGGAATCTTTCTTCGGGGAGTCCCAGGCATGACTGGCTTCCTCAATCACGGAGCTGAGGATTGGGTGCCATTATGTGTTATCACAGCGCCACATCGTGGACCAATCCATCCCAAACACCATACCATAGCAAGCAAAGAGGAGAGGTGACAGTGACGCAAGCAATGCCCAATATCCACAGGGGCAGCCTTGCGAGACTGCGTGTCTTCGAGGGAGCCTCTATTTTCTGATGAGCCTAGTAAAGGCGGACGCCGGCCTTGGGACCTCACAGAAAGGTCAGGGTTGACATCTCAACATTCGCTTGATTTCTAAGTCTACCATAACGCGTTTTGGTTTCATTATTTTCCTCTGCAAGGAATCTCGCAGCTTGTCAAATGGCAGAGAACAAGAAAAAATACCAACGCCGAACTTTCCTTTCCTCGCCGGCGGCCCGAAGTATCAGAAGCCCACATTCCACGTAATCTCATCTACAAGGGCGTCGTCACACCATTTTCTATTCCAAAAGTGCTCTTTTACACGACCGCCGTCACTCTCCTGACACTTCTCCTCGCGCCGTCACCACTGATCATGACAAGACCCTCCATCTCCAAGGTCCGCATCGTCTCGTTAAAGTCGCTCTGCTCGACGGGCACGCTTGCCGATTCGCTGAGCCTCCGTGCGACCTCGCTCCACTTGACGGTCTGTCCATTGCTAGTCAACTCGTCAAGCAGGTGAAGCACGGCGTTCTTGATCTCCTCCTTCTTGCGGCGATCGGCAGCGCTGGTGCCCTCTGTCAGGAGACTCATGTCAATGCGGCCCTGAGAATCAGTGGCGGCAGTCTTCAAGGCGGAGCGGATGAGGCGCGCGGCTTCCATAACGTCCTCGCGAACAACGGTTGTAGACAAACGCATCTTGGCGTGAGCTTCAGACAGGCGGATCATGGATTCAAGTTGACGCGTGGTGGCAGTGATGCGCTTCTCTGCAGCGCGAACATCCTGGCCGAGCTTGCGCATCTCGAGGTACTGGTTGACCAGCTCTTGAGCGGCATCCTGGGCGATAGTAGGTTGTATTTGAGAGCGGGCGTAAGAGATGTATGTGGTCAGGAACTCAACAGGCTGCATCAATGTCAGGAACTGTCAAAAATCAGGGGAGTTATCAGGTACTTACGAGAATGTCTTCCTTTTGCTGGGCAGAATCTGGGTTATCTTCCAAGTACAGGGAAAGCAGATGACGAGCCAGACGAGCATCGCTCTTCTCATCAGCGCGATCAAGAATAAGATAGACCAAATCGAAACGAGACAGCAGAGTGGGTGGCAGGTCGATGTTCTGAGGCACAGGCAGGTCGGGGTTGTAACGACTGCCAATCGGGTTGGCGGAAGCCAGGATACTCGTCCGGGCGTTCAAGGTGGTGATGATGCCGGCTTTAGCAACCGAAACCGTCTGCTGTTCCATCACTTCGTGGAGAACGGAACGAGTTGATTCTGACATCTTGTCAAACTCGTCGATACAGCAAACACCCCCGTCCGACAGGACCAAAGCACCAGACTCAAGAACAAGCTGGCGAGTCTCGGGATCTCTCGTGACGTACGCAGTGAGACCAACAGCAGAGGAACCCTTGCCACTGGTGTATACACCGCGAGGAGCAATCTTGTGCACGTAAGAGAGGATCTGGGATTTGGACGTCGAAGGATCACCACAGAGCAGGACGTTAATATCGCCTCTGTATCTGGGGCTGCCACCTTTGGTGAAAGTCTTGTTGGTGCCGCCGAAAAGTTGCAGCAAGATTCCCTTCTTTACATCGTCCATCTCGTAAATAGATGGAGCGAGTGAGCGGGAAAGAAGATCGTAAATGTCTGGTCTGGCGGCAGTCTCCTTGATCTTCTCTTCCTCCTCTGGGCTGATCTTCTTGGTTTCAGCAAGGTTGTTGTCGCCGCCAGTCTCTTCTTCTTCACCTTCAAGGCCGAGGGTAGAAGGGTCGACACCCATCCTCTTCTTGTCTACCTTTTGAACGTGCAAAACATCGACATATGTCTTGTAGATGCTCTTGATGGTCCTTTGACGAGGGTTCACACGCACAGGGTTGACGCGGAAAATGCCTGTGAGCTCAACTCGATCACCAGCTTTGCAGAAGTCCACCAATTCGTTGTACACGCAAACCGAGACAGAGTGGGGCGTTTGTCCAGCAGGAACTGCATCGGGGGTCTCCTGAAGCTTGATTACCTGCTTGTCATCGAACACACAGCGATTGTGGATAATCTGCATGGAGTTCTTGGAGGCGCAGCGAGTACGCGGGCACTCGGTGGGCTCGCGAATTTTGCCCCTATCGAGACCAACGTTGACTGAGTGATTGCAGACACTGCAACGGAAAAAGGCGTCTTTCATATCCGGGATGACTGGCGTGGTGCGGATGACCAGACCCTTGATGGTGATGAGCCTGTCCATGTCAGAGGGGTTCAAGTCTCGGAGGTTGGTCGTCTTCTCCAATCCGAAAGGTCGGACCATGAATAGCAAGCCAGAAACCTCGTCCTCTTTCGAAGGGAGATCCAGAGTAGGTCGAGGTGTCGGGGCGTCAGAGCCGGCATGGTCTGAGCTCGGGAAGGCAATGTCGGAGCTGGGTGCAGTATTGCTTCGTCTGGCCGCTTCGCCAGCACTGCTCTGAGAAGCACGTTGTCTTTGATCTTCGGCTCTTGCTAACTCAACCATCATGTCGCTCACCGACTGATCCATGATGGGGACGATTTCCTGCGGATAGGCTTGGATATGGTACCAGAGCTTGCGCGTCGGGGGGTAGGTATTCAGATCAGCGACGTCGAGGTAGAGCCTAGTGGTACCGAGAAGAAGCATGTTTTCAAGAGCCTCCCAGTATGGTTTGGACTCGGCGTCGGGCGCATTTTGAACATCTGCCTCACTCCAGCCCTCTCTGTACAGTTGGTATTTCCGTGTAAAGTGCCTGAGGAAATCCTTGAAGGCTGCAAAAGTGTCGTCAACAGAAACCGTGGTACCCCAGATGGCACTCTCTCCTGTCCCACCAAGGCGATCTGCCTCTGAAGTGTTCGGGTCTGGGTTGCTGAAAGAAAGCGCATCGGAGCCCGGCGCATCTGTGGTCACTCTGCCGGAGGGATCCAAGACAATGCGGCGGCGGGGGGTTCTGATGCCTTCTGAGTTGATATCACCTCTGCGGGAACGGGATGCTCGATCAGAGACAAAGAGACCACTGCTCTCACTGCGCAAGTCTGACTGAGGCGGCCGCATCGATGGTCCCGGACTGGAGCTAGCTTCGTATCGGATAGGCGACGACTCTGGACATGTAAGTTAGTAATTTGCACGCCAAGATACTGATGGTGCACTTACCCCTCATCATACCGCTGGCACGCGGTGTCCTATCTCCATCACCGGTGGATTGGGTGTCAATGTCTTGACGCAGCGGTGAGCTGGGAGCAGGGCCAACGGCGGTGCTCTGACTGTTGCTCATGTTCCGCAAGGGAGACGAAACATCGCCATTGGCAGGTGCATTGCGACGACCATTGTTAGATTGCGCCGGCGAGGAGGATTCATAGAACAGAGGGCTGGATGCAAGCTGGGACCGGCGGGTTGTGCGAGGGGTCTCTGCAGGGCGTTGCGCCTCTTCGTCTGCCGGCGCGGGGGTACTGCGATCAGCATCCGGATTGTTTCTCGTAGAACGACGGGGAGTTCCAGCCGTCGAGCTTCTCGTCGACCTTTTCGAGGGTGAAGACATTTTCTTGTTGACGCTCGTAATCTTCCTTACGGTTGCTGGTCAAGCGGGGGGCGGGATGGGGGATGCGACTGAAAGAATATGTGCGTTGCTGGGGAGAGGGGAGTTGTGGAGAGGCGTCGTTCAGGAGCAACTAAAAGGTGGGCTGCATTGCAATCTTGAAAAGCACTTTACGCGCTCACCCGGTCTCAACGCGTTCCGAAAAGGAGTTTCGCGTTTTCCACTTTACGCGCTGTGGAAGCGTGGCCTGTGCGTCTATCTACCGCTAAGGTAAAGCCTCGAGGTGAGGTGGGTGGGTACCTTACCTAGACCCCTGCTATCCGGCCATCGGCGAAACCACCCACCGACTTGCACCGATCCTGGGATGCTGAGGTGGTCAATTGCATCCCGCCAGAGCTGCCTACCTGGCACCGTTGAGTAAAGTGACATTACCTAGCAACCCACCAACAAGCGCAGTCCGGCGCAACGACCCCCAAACAAACATCAAGATGGCTCCCGGAATGTCACTTTTCTCCGTCAATGCGATCCTGATCCTCAGCATTGAGGACGGATCGCGGTTATTCTCCAAGTACTATAGCGCACCCCACCAAGGCACACAAAAGGACGGTATGCGCTGGCCCCCCTCCGACGCCGAGCTCTGGAGCTCTATGACTGACGGATTCGATTCATGATAGGTCAGTCAAGCCCTTACCCCGATGTCAAGTCGCAAAAGGCCTTCGAGAAGGGTCTCCTGGAGAAGACGGCCAAGCAGACCGGCGATATCATCCTATACGACAACCGGATCGTTCTCTACAAGATGGAATCGGACGTCATGATGTACGTTGTTGGAGGTGTCGACGAGAACGAGGTTCTTCTTTACAACGTCATCCTGGCCCTGAGGGACTCCCTGCACCTGCTCTTCAAGTAAGCCATACCCTTTGTGTTCCCCGGCTGTCGCAGGAAGCTGGTGGTTCTAATAGCTCTGCTAGGCAATCCGTCGACAAGCGTACAATCGTCGAGAACTACGACCTCGTCTCCCTGGCTATTGACGAGATTGTGGACGACGGCATTATCCTCGAGACTGACCCTACCATTATCGTCCAAAGAGTCAGCAAGGCGCCGGCGCAAGACGTCGACCTTCGTCGCATCGACCTCAGTGAACAAGGTGTCAACAACCTGGCCCAGCTGGGTAAATCGAAACTGGCGGACTGGCTGCGGCAAGGCTTGTAAGGGGTTGCGGTGTAAGGGAGAGGGGATGCAGATATAAACCAAGGACGGTTTATAAACGGGAGTTTTATGGTGGCTTCTAAAGTGAACCCATCATCAAAAGTAAAGTCCTCTGAAGGAGGATGTCATGACGAATGCCTCGAATTTATGCTTGATTCTATTTTGTCCAAACCCTGTCTATGCTCGGATCTCGGAGGCCGCCTTGCGGAGCCTGTTCATTACCGCTTCTGCAATGTCATTTCTGTCGTCGATGCCGTCTACGAAGATAACGCTGGCACCTCTTCTATCCAGATCCCTAAGAGCTGAGAATAGCCCCTGAGCGATCCCCTTGATGCCGTCACCCAGGTCTATGTCGAGAATCGTCGCCATTGGCTTATTCTCTGCGTCCTGGAGCTCGCCTTCTTGAACCTCATACGCTGCTTCGTCCCTCACATTGGCCTCCGTGGCCCCGTCAACATGGACCTTTGAGACCTGCAACGCGCCGTGGTGCAAACCACCCGCAATTTTCCACCTCCTCGTGCGAATGATGCCAATGTTGAGCGAAATCGGCCCTGAGCCATTCGAAGCGGTCACGTCGCCATTCTGCTGGATGAGCGCCTTTTGCAGATCCTCGGCGATGATGCCATCAGCCCCCGCCTCGCAAGCCCACTCGTACAGCACCACCTTTGCTTTGGGGCTGTAGTGCTTGTACTTCATCCCAGGGGCCCGCGGCGTCGACTTGCCCATCTCGCTCTCGTCTTTGTACGCCTTGACGACGCCCTCCCAGCCGGGACAACTTCGCAGCTCCTCCATGCCCACGCCGCCCGGTCTCAGGACGACGGGCGGGTCGCAGAGACCGTCGACGACGGTGCTCTCCACACCGACCTGACAAGCCCCACCGTCCAAGATGAGCTCGATGCGCCCTTCCAGATCGTGGAAAACGTGTTGTGCTGTCGTGGGAGACGGTTTGGTAGATGCGTTGGCGGAGGGAGCCGCCAGCGGCACGTTGGCGAGCTTGATGAGCGTCAACGCCAGCGGCGAGGACGGCATCCGCACACCAAAGCTCGCCAAACCCGCCGTGACTTCGGGAGCGAGCTTGCTCGGCTCTGGATTCCTCAGCAGGATCGTCAGGGGTCCAGGCCAGAACTTTTCGATGAGCGGTTTATAAATTTCCGGAATCGGGTCCTTTGACGCATCGCCGTTGGTCTGCTTCTCGGACTGCAGCAGCCCCCTCAACATATCCAAATCGCAGACGTGCGATATCAAAGGATTGTCTGATGGCCGACCCTTGGCCGAGTAGATGCCCTTGACGGCGCCGCTTCTCGTGGCGTCAGCTCCGAGGCCGTAGACAGTCTCGGTTGGGAATGCCACGGGCGTGTCCCTGGTGCGCAGGTGTTCCGCGGCATCTCGTAGGGCGGCTATGGATGCGCCGGAGGCGGAGTTGGCGATTTCCCAGTTGCTTAACCTCTTTGGTCCCTCCACATCTCTGAAATTCCCAAGCCCTTGGGCATCAACTTTCACAATGCGGGTCTCCATTGTGCCTTTGCTGTTGTGTTGTGTTGAAAGTAGTCGTCGGCAGTTGTGGCTAGAAGTTGCAATTTGGCGACTTATACGATGGATGAGAGCCAATGCAACAAGACAACAGGGTCGAGATTGCATAAAATCCAAAGGTTGGAGGAGACTAAGTTGACAGCAGAGGGTCTAACTAGATGGCTGTCTCTAATATCAAACGAAGAATCTAGTTCCTTGTCATATGTGATTAATTGGGTATCAACAAAAGGTCTGCTCTTGCAGATCAAGTGGATGAGATGGATAGTCAAGTTGAGTCATCTGCGAAAAAATTCTCTGAATGAGGCTAAGTGACTGAGGTGTGTGGCCGTTGGTGCTGTGCTTTAGCGGCGATATTGTCGAGTTTAGGGAACGGGCGGTCGGGTCTTGCCCGTCCACAGCAGTGACATCTGCCGCTAAAGTCACCTCCGCCGATCGCCTTTTAGTGGGGCCTGTGATGTGATTGTAGTGGGGGATGAGTCCCCTTCAGGCACTCGCCACGTGCTGACTGGCCGGGTATGAAAATGTTCCGTGGATGAAGTTTATCATAGCACAGCTTTGGCTTTGAAGTTGTGGTCATGGCCTAATTTACTGTCTAGTTGTGCCGCATTCTGCAGGCTACCTACATGAGTTAGAGAATGACCAGCGGATTTGGTATTCCTCTACTTGACACTTGGATCCTTCAGATACTATTTGCTTATTATAGATGATTTGTGGTAGCAAAAGCCTTTGATCTTGGAAAAATTCCCTAGCTACGAAACTATCCTTACCAGAGGGTCATTACTCCAAGCGTCCTTGTTAGCCCTTGATAGCATCTCTGTTTGTCTACCATCCAGACGTCACATAAAGTTGACGTTCCCATGATCTGTCCCCAGAACCTGGACACATCAACGTGCGATCATGCCCATCAACAAGTGAGAACTTCCGGCTCAGATCTGGCTGGCCGAAACAAGCCTTGCCATTGACGGCGCAGACTCAAAGCAAGGACTCAAGGAGTAGGGAGGCTCCTCAATTCCTACACGGCTTTTTGAGCAGTCAAAAAGACTCGAACCTGCGTTCTCCTGAGGCAGTCTCAGCCCGAGTCCGAACTAGGCAAGTAATTCGCATAGCCGTCGTGGCAGGATAGTCCTATACCGTGATATGCGGTATAATATCCGGATCTATCCTAGACTAGTGAGCAACTCTACCGCTGACATCCGGGCAAGCCCTGTGGATGCTTAATCGCAGGCAGATTATCCTCATAGTCACGTCTCGCCGTCTTCTAACCGTTTGATCCAAACCACTACCCAGTGACGAGACTGTTTGCTTCCTTTCTACAAGCTGGCAGGAAGCATCAGACTAGCTCAGCGTTCTCGTCATCAACGACAGGCTTTGCGCTAGACCATCTCAAGATCAAGATGTCCCCTGTCTTCGCTAGCACAGAGCCGTCCGAGTCCGTTCCTTTCCCTTCCACTACTGTGTCTCGCAACATACGGATGAAGACTGCAGTATCGAGATCTGGCCCGTCGATCATGCTGATGTTGCCGGCTGTATCGTTGAGATTCTGTAGGTTTGGTGGGAAGGAGGAGAGGAAGGAGGAAAGGTAGTGGTTATGTAGTAGTGCTTGATGGCGGGTTGCGTAGGCGAGTTCTGTTTCGGAAAGACGGGCGCGAAGAGCCGGTGACGAGAGGTAGTGGAGCGCATGTTTATCGATCTACAGTAGCAGAGTAGACTGTTAGCCATTGAGTCTTCGTGCCAATGGACATGCGCCGGGTTCGGTTGGAGCGCTGCAGAGACTTTGTACCTTTGCAATTCGAGCGCGAAGGAAGCTTCTGACGAGGAACTTGAAGCGCTCTAGCTCAGTCTGTATGACAATGAGGGCGAAGTTGGTCTTGGGGTCCATGTCACCCGTCATGTCCTCGACCTTTTCGATTTGGCGTTTGATGCGGTCGTTGACGCGCTCAAAGAGACCATCGGCAGGCCACCTGAGGTGTCGCAAGTCAGCATGTTGTATAGTCGCGTATCGTCCGTTGGAGAGAGGCTGGGCAACGGAAGGCAGGCACACACTCTAGAAGTTCTGGGGCGGACCGCTCTGCTACCCAAGCACGCGTCAGAGCCTGTAAGTCGCGTGTCTCTGAAGGAATCGAGTACGAGACCGGGTCGACCTCGCGTAGGATATCGTCAATGTCCATTGTTGCTGGCTTCTATGCGTATGCAATCAAGAGTGGGTGCTATAACATGGTGCGGCTAGGTTCGGCAGCGGTGTTGGTAACGCGATTTCGAGGTCGACTTTGGATCGCGGGATACTCAAGAAAGGAAGAATCGCGGGGTGCTAATTGACTTCGATGGTGGGGTCTAGCCGAGGGTGGGGCTAAGGTAGGTATGGAGCTACATGGAGCGCAGATAAGAGGATACGCACAGGCGCCACGGAAAGAAGCTGGGGTCAAGGTATCTTTCTATCTACCTGATTCTCCCATTGTCATCACCTTCTTTACATAGCTTCTTTCTAACCAACAAGTCTATTTCCTTGACTTTTTGTGATACAGAAAGTTGCTACTGGTTTATTTCTTTCTGAATTGCCCGCAGATACTTTACCTTGGGATCCTGGTAGACAACCTGCCGGTCGTTCCGCTGCTGCCGTGTTCCCGATTATACGAACAGTCCGACGGAGAATGCTCGCTTCCTAATGTTACTATGACGAGGAACACGGAGGGCCGAGGGTCCCGATCGGGGAACTTAAGCATCTGACACTTTTCAGAGTATTTCAAGACGCCAATGCCATCCCCGCGATCCATCGTTGTTCAATTTCTAGACACGCTGAGATAAAACGGCATACGTATCTGAACCAATCAAACCTCCTTGGTTTCCTCCAAATTTCTACGAGCTCTTACCTCTTCACAATGGCAGACTCAGGCGACGGAGATGAACGGACCCCTTACTCGGCATACGCCGTCAGCATCTATCAGAATGCCATAATGGCAGGCCAATTGCCCGTTGTGACGACGGATCCCAACGGCTTGCAGGCCCAGGCCCAAAAGGCCATGGACCCCAAGTCTTTCAACTACGTCTTCGGAGGGGCCGGGGAGCTGTCAACCATGGACGCGAACCGCCTGGCCTTTCGCCAGTGGAAAATCGTCCCACGCTTCCTGAGACCGAGCAATCCTCGGGATTTGAGAACTGAGTTGTTTGGCGCAACTTATGGTACGTTGCAGATGCCAAACCAATTTCGAAGTGAGACATTATTCTAAGACAACAAGCTCAGAGTCTCCCCTTTTGATGGCTCCAATCGGGGTCCAGAGCATTTTCCATGAGGACAAGGAATTAGGTCTGGCTGCCGCCTGCGCTGAGCTGCAAGTGCCGTACACGTTGAGCACGGCGGCAACCTCAACCATCGAAGAGGTCGCCAAAGTCTGCGGCGACCAGCACCGGTGGTTCCAGCTGTACTGGCCCATGGACAATGATATTACGGGCTCGATCCTCAGGCGCGCCAGGGCCAACGGGTACAAGGTCCTCGTCGTGACTCTCGACACCGTGACCGTGGCTTGGCGACCTGCAGATCTCGACCAGGCATATCTCCCCTTCATCACGGGCACGGGGAACTCGGTTGGCTTCAGCGATCCCGTCTTCCGCAAGAAGTTCTCTGAGCAGAACGACGGCGACCAGGTGGAGGATAACATCATTAGCGCCTCCCGGTACTGGATCAGCCAGGCCTTCCCCGGTGATCACCATTCTTGGAAGGATCTAGCGCTGTTGAAGAAGAACTGGGACGGGCCCATCGTTCTTAAAGGCGTGTTGAGCGTCGAGGACGCCAAGCTCGCTGTCGAGCACGGCGTGTCGGGCATCATCGTCAGCAACCACGGCGGTCGACAGCTCGATGGTGGGGTCGCTTCGCTGGAGGTGCTTCCGGAGATTGTGGAAGCCGTGGGCGACAAGCTCACGGTTATGTTCGATTCCGGGATCCGAACTGGGGCGGACATTGTCAAGGCCCTCTCTTTGGGGGCTAAGGCTGTCTTCGTTGGCAGACCCGCCATATACGGCCTGGGCATTGCGGGTAAAGAGGGCGCGAAGGCTGTCATTGCTGGACTACTCGCAGATCTGGACCTGACCATGGGACTGTCCGGCTTCAAGACTCTCTCCGAGCTCAAGCCCTCCATCCTTCGGCAGGTTCGGTACGGCGGGGATGTGAAGGCTAACCTGTGATGTCGAATCGTTTGCTTCCGAACTGGGGTCTGGCAGAACCGGCAAGTCATTGTGCCGGGAATTCAATGCTGTCGCATTCGCTATATTAACGCTGGAAGAATACAAGCTTATTTTTCTTTGAAATAGTGTCGATCGTAGCCCCGTTTCCTTGATCTGATCACACTCTCCACGGGTTCATTGAGATTTGACCAGCGTGCAACAACAAAATGCATGATGCGGACCACCTTTCTCCCCCGCACACTAACAGTGCCGGAATGCTCGCCATCCGACGAGCTTGAGCCCGGGAACGAGGAAAGCCACCAGGCTAAAGTTCGGCTCCTGGCGACTGTCTTGGTCCGAGACAAGCCAAGACTATCAGATCGCAGTGCCAATGTCCTTCGCGTCCAACATGCCATTGGGTTCTTTGCTATTCATTCCTCACATGGTCTGGAATTCAGCTCGGCTGAATCTCAACCAACCAAGGCTTTTGAAGTGGATTCCTTCTCTACTATGTACGGAGGAAGAAATTGAGAAGCCCTCTATGCACGCTAGCACTACATGCAGTCAGACTACTGGACTGGTATTAGTGGTTCTTCTTCAAAGTCGGGCAGTAGGGCTCCTGGTTCTTCCATAGCCGTGATACGGCTGTTACCACTCCACAGATCTCGCCACTGTCCCTCTCCATGACGAGATCACCATCATCTCTCTGGGAATGTTCGTGAGTTTCCGAGGTACTACCACGCTAGCGTGCGTTCGTCTCATATCCTTTCCCATAGCTCCATGGGAAGGGTCTATCCGAGGGAGCAGCATTTAGAGTGCAGTAAGCATATTCCTGTGAAAAGCGGGTTGTCTCTGAGTAATCTTGTTGCAAAGTTTATCACAAGGCGTCATGTTGTTGACAAGATGGTGCTCACAGTATCTGATATATATAACAGCAGCAGGGCGGGCGACATGGATGGGGAAGAGTCTTGAGTAGGTACAGCCATCTCACCAACAGTCCTTCCTTACCAACAAATTATCAACTCTTCTCGTGAATCTATTACACACAGGCACATAGTCACTTCATCCCTCCAACTCCATCTAATACAGTACACAAAATATGCGCACCTCATCCATCATCCTCGCGGCCGCGTCCGCCGCCTCCATCCTCGGCGCCCCTCTGGAGAAGAAGGCCAACTATGACCCCCTTCCTGGTGGCGATATCACTATTCTGAAGTAAATCTATTCTGCGGAAGCAATTGTCTGGCCTCATCTAACATGAGTATACTAGCTACGCTCTTACCCTTGAGTACCTTGAGCGCAAGTTCTACGAGGAGGGCTTGGCGAACTACACTGAGGCCGACTTCTGCAAGTACGCCGGTGAGGTTGGAGAGAAGTTCTACAAGAACCTCAAGACCATCTATGAGGACGAGAAGGTAAAGGCTTATGCCCCAACACACCCAACCCAAACCTCTGGATAGTAGACCCTGAGAATCAACACAATACTGCTTCACTGGGATGTATCTAAACTAACGCCCGACAAACACCCAGACCCACGTCGACTTCCTCAAGAACGCCCTCGGCGCCTCCGCCATCCCAGAGCCGACCTTTGACTTCCCCGTCTCCGACGCAGACTCTTTCCTCGCCCTCGCCTCCGTCCTCGAGGGCGTCGGTGTGTCCGCCTACCTCGGCGCGGCCGCTGTCATCGCAAACAAGGCCTACATCCCCGTCGCCGGCAGCATCCTGACCGTTGAGGCCCGCCACTCCTCCTACATCCGCGCCGCCCTCCGCGAGAAGCCCTTCCCCACGCCGTTTGACACACCCCTCGACTTCAACCAGGTCCACTCCCTCGCCTCCCAGTTCGTCGTCGCCTTCGCGCCGGGAACCCCCGCCCTCCCCTTCAAGGCCTTCCCCAAGCTGACCGTCTCCCCCACCTCGACCTCCCACGGTGCCCTCTTTGAGGGTGCGTACAAGGCCGCCAGCGACGCCCAGCTTGTCCCTGCCGGGGCTACCGTCTACGCTGTCTTCTTCTCTGGTCTTGACACCTACTACTCCGAGGTCGCCATCAGTGGTAACGATGTAAGTCCGCCTTTCTTTCAAATACTACCCTTGGTCTTCGTTTCCATACTGACATGTTCCCGCAGTACATTGTCGACCAGCTGCCCGAGGGCCCTGAGGGCCAGGTCTACGCCGTTCTCAGCACCGCCGACGGCAACAGCACCAAGGTCTCTGATGAGAACACCGTTGCGGGTGTTGCTGTCCTCGAGATTCAGGAGGCTGACTGGTAAACAAACGTCACAACTTTCAATACTTGTGATGAAAAAGTTGCATGAAGCAGTCTAGGGCCCCCTTGGTGAATATTTGATATGGCTTTATTATTAGCTCAATGTTCTTTGTAGATATTTATACTTTAGCTCAAACTGCGGAAATCGACTTGATAATTAATGCAAAATTACAACAGAAATCTTGGTATAAAGTTCGTTATCTGACATAATCTAATCACATGTCGCACATGGCGGTACACCTGTGGTAGACATACTGCTTCTGCCCACACTATTGAGTTCCGTAAGATGTACATACAATACAATAATGAGTTCCAGTGATGTCAGAGGGACGTACGTGCCAATCTTGGCCCGAGGCCCTTCGTCTGAGTAGATGAGTACCTGCCTTGGGAACGCGGAAGTGACACAAAAGAAGGAAGCGCCGTCATGCGGACACTTCACCGATCTTTCCTTCCATGTTTCTTACCTATCCAGTATATATGACATCCCAACGCCGTTCCCGTCACCAGCACCCACTCGTAAGTATAACCAGGGCCTCCTCTATCGAAGGCGTCTGGCAGAGTGATACCAACTCTGAAACAAATACTCCAATGAAGTAGAAGTGCTGGCTACCAAGGGGCGCTCTAGGTATTCGATTCTGACACGGGCGTGAAGAAACAGGTCAGTGTTCCCCCTTCCATTCCTTCCCTTTTCTTTTGCTCATTATTGGACTTTTCCTTCTAGTTTTTTTATTCCCCCGATAAGGAGAGTGTTGAAGCATGAGAAAAGAAGTCAAAGACAGGATTTGGTTGGGTCAAGCTTGCTATGGCTGGTTATTCATGAACAGATCTGTGGCGTCCCCTTCCGCTATCGAGAATCTCTGTTGAGCAAGCTCCAAATGCTTCACGTACGGCCAATTACGTTGGCGGCCCAATCATCAAGTCGCACGTACCCAGCCAACTATCTGACGAACCCTCCCCGGTAACCTGACTTCGCTTATAGGTTGGGTTCGCTTATACAGGATCTCTGACTCACCAACAACGCCACCTCATCTATCTATCTTACTGCCGAGCAGTCTGCCCTTGATCCGTACCTAAGTCATGCTGGACACCCCGTGCTTGAACTTATCAAACAGCGAGAGATTGATACCAGCAGCCATGGCCTTATACCCCGCCGGATTCAGGTGCAAGTGGTCACCCGAATCATACTCGACCTTCAACTTCTCCGGCGCAGCGGGGTCCCTTACGATCGCGTCAAAGTCGATTACGGCATCGTACCGCCCGCTATTCCGAATCCATTTATTCACACTCTGCCGCGTCTTCTCCCTCTGTGGATCAGAGTACGGCTGCCCGTCTCCCGTCAGCGGCGTGATGGTCGCCCCGAATACCGCGATATTGAACCGGTGAAGCCGCGTGACGATCTGATCGTACGCGGCGATGAGCCGGTCACCCACCGCCTCCTGCGCGGCGGTCGTGTTGGCCGCTGTGCCAATGTCGTTGACGCCGATGAAGACAATGGCATACATGATACCCGACTGCGCGACGACGTCCCTGTCGATGCGGCCGAGACCGTTGGGGCCCAGACCGTCGGCCAGGACGCGGTTTCCGCCCGCGGCCTCGTTGACAATGGCGATGTCCTGCGTGGAAGAATCGTTTTGCATCCGCGCGAGGAGCCTGTCGGGCCAACGGTTGTTCACGTTGGTCGTTGAGCCCCTGCCGTCGCTGATGGAGTCGCCTACGATGGCGACCGCCGAAGCGCCCTTTGGAACCCAGCCCTCGAGGGCGCTGATGAGGTACCAGTGATCTGTCGTGGTCGCGGTCGTGGTTGCGTTGCTGGCGGCAACGAGGTCGTGGTCGGCGACATGGTTCCCGCGCACGAGGAAAGACGTGGTGCGGCTGCCCGGGTGGCCGGTGATGCTGTTGGTCGACTGGCCATTGGCGAGGTAGATTGTGACGGAGACGATGGACTGCGCTTCGACGGTGAGGTTGATCGGGTCCGAAAAGACGACGGCGCCGTTGGGAACGACGAAGCCGCCGCTGCCCGAGAAGGTGACGACTTGGAGGGAGTTGGCGTCGACGCCGCTCGTGCCGGCTGTGTTGTTCGCCGTTCGGCCAATGGTCACGGATGTTATGGGGAGGTCTGAGCCGCCAAAGGCGTTGCTGATCTGCAGGCGGAGGGTTGAGGCCGCAAGGGAGACCTTGACGGTCTGGCGAAGGGTCGCATCGCGGAAGACTCGGCCTGTCTCGTTCTGGGGAGAGTCAGGGGTCGCTTCTAAGGGTATCATTGAGGTCTGATAAGGAGATAACTTACAAATGGGGTTGGGGGTAGGTTGCCCGGCTCAACCAGCTGGGGCATCGTTCCCCAGACAGTGACCCATTCCCTCTCATCTCGCGTGGAGTATTGGGGGCGTGCTTCTGCCAGAGGCGACAGGAAGAGCAAGGCCGTAAAGGCCGTCTTGAAGGAGGGGATCATTGTGGCAAGCTACTGAGAAACGAGGGCTGGCTACAGGTCTATCACTCTGGTTTCCGGGCTCGAAACGAAGAGGAGACCGTGAGTCTTATACAGGCACCCAGGTACGGAATTCGGTGTTTTCATTGCGTCGTCTGTCCCTCAATATAACTTTGTTTTCCAATTGGGCTTCCATTGCAACGCTCGCGATGTTGGCATGGCGAGGCCATCCGGTAACGCGGAACTGGTGGGCGCTGGGTAATGGGGTCAACCCGGTTGAAGTTCAGGCTAAATTCAATGTAATATCGTGGCGATATTTGGGGACCGGAGATGAGTTCGTTCAGTTCGTCCCGTGCGATGCAACGCCGTTTCCCCAAGTCCCACATTGGGGCCGCTGTCTTCCCCGCTTGGGTACACTCCAGTGGTGCTGCCCTGGCCTGGGGAAGATCTTGGGGTCGGCGACGAACGGGGAAGGAGGGACTAGGTTTATGAGACTTGGTCACGGGAGATAATGCAACAATGACGAGGATGGGAGCGAAGATCAATGATTGGCATTCCAACTGTACACCAATGTGCACCTGTGTACAAGAAGAGGGGCGAGCGGCTCGAGTCCGCCCAGAAACGAACGTGGTTCATCCAAACAATCCCAACTACAACCGAACGAACGACTAGTGAGCGACATTCCTAGGACAACATCCATCTACCACAGTATCAATCAAGAAGAAGCGCCGAGCCAAAGCGTTGGAAAACGAGAGAAGGAATTGAAGAGTAGCCATGACCGACCACTGGCGATCTCTTCCATCGCCCTTACTTCCCCGAATATTTCGGCATGGGGTAAGGAAAGCGAAGAAAGGGTTGGGGCAAGTCGAGACGCAAGGTGGCGCATGACATCGGACATGAAGGAAACCAACAAGATCATCACACTAGAGATCTAGATGGGGTGCAGCGGGACGGGCTGCAACGTCGGCCCAGTCGCCGGCGCAAGCGATGAAAGCTTCGGAAGGGTGGTTGGCCATGCCGTACTCGTTCTCGAGTGCGTCCGTAGCCCTGCTAACACGCGAGTGCGAGATGTGGACCTTCATGCTGTCTTTGGACGAGTTGTCCTTGATATCGAAGCCACCAGGGCATGACTGGCCCCAGATCCACTGATATGTGCTCACGTTACCAAGGGGCAACTGCGTATCGAGGAGGTTCATATTGTCCTTGGTCAGAGCAGACCCAGGGACAACCGGAGTTGCAGCCATTGCCACAATAGCGAGCGAATTGACGACAGTGTCGTCAGAGCCTGTTGTCTCCGAGGAAGTCCTTGAGGCAGTGACCTCGCCGTAAGAGATCATGTCAAAGCCGTCGTCATCGTCAACATCCGACGTGTATGTTTGGTCGGAGCGTGAAACATTGAGGGCGACCCGACGGTCAGCGATGGAGGAGGCAGGCTCGTTGGAGACCTTGTATTGCGGACTGCGATCTTCCGAGTAGTTGTCAACGGAATGATGTTTCGGCGTGGCGTTCTGGAAGCCATGTTGTGGGGGCATGTTGTCTTCTTGATGGGCCATCATGGTGATCTAAGAAGAATGTGCGAAAAGGGGAGAGTAATTCGAGTGCGTGTGAGCTTAGCGATCAAGTGATGCAAGCCGGTCGCAGATGGACGAGAATATGCTGTTACGGAGACGACGTCAGACCTTGTCAAGCGGCCCAAGGGTAGGAGATGAGGTGGTGTTGCTCACTACAAGTCCGGCAGGAGTCAAGGAAGCTTTGACAAGGCACAGCGGAGAAGAGTTGAAGAGTAGTGATGGTGTTGAGCTTGTCAGCATCCAGCTATGAGAAGGACCTCTCGATGCTTTCGTCTCTGAGAAGCAAGGTCGCCGTCCGTTCCAGGATAGCAGTGGTCAAGATCTCTTATATCTGAGGTGAAAGAGTAGAATCGTACGAGGTGATAAAGTTGTTCTTACAAGATAATTTATTATGCTGGGGAGTAAATGGGAACTGATGAGAAAAGGTGGAGGGTGAACGTGAGAGCTTTATACCAAGGTAGGTAGGCGTCTGACTTGGGTTGGTAGGTAAGTAGTGATGAGCTGGGGGGAAAGGGGTGGCCCGGTGGATGCAAGAATGGGTTGGCCAGTATTATTCCCTTATTTTTTCTCTGTCACTTTTTTCCCTCTTTGCTCCCACCTTGGACCCTTCACTGACCCATGTCAGGCACAGTACTCCCAGCAGCTACTTGACTGCCTATGCCGAGCTGTAAGCTGGTGCATGTGGGCAAAGCCAGGGTGATGGAGCGAGGTGTGTGCGACTGTCCGTGGATGCGTGAAGAGGGGGTTGACGAGGTGTAAGGTACCTAGGAGAGTGAAGAGGAGGAGGAGGAGGAGGAGGAGGAGGAGGAGGATGGATTGGGGAGGTGGGGTACCCTCATGTGTGGTACTTTTTCTTTAGTTCTTCAGGGAAAGGAAAAGAGCAGAAACACTGGACGTTGTCTCCAAATCCGGTTCAGCGGCTCCCTCCTTGCGACTTTTCGTACCCAAGTTGCGTTGGTCATCGCCATTGCAGCGTACCTTACCTCGTGCGCAGGTTCTCTTCAGGGCCAGGTGAAAAGTACCTCCCCGGGAAGGGGGTACGATGGACACAGCTCTGTCTAGCTGCCACTTAGAGGGGGTACGTCCCTATGGGGTCCCTCCGTTGGCAGTCTGGCCCTTTATTGTACCAGCAATTGATACGAATATTAAAAAAAGCCTTTAATTACTCTCTAATCTAGGTGACTATTGCTGGACTTCCTTGAACCCTTGAGATCTCTGCTGGATCAGCACCTCTAAAAGAGAAAAAGGCGCGTGTTTACCGTCACGTTAATGTTGAACTGTATTATATACGTAGGCAGTGACTAGTAAGGGCATTATTATTTTATTAAAGCATAAGGTATCAAACCTCTAGATGTTATGAAGCGACTTCTGTTCAGCGCACCCCCCTCCCGCCTAAGGTACTAAGGTGGGTAGGTACCTTACCTTACCTCTCTGTACCTTACCTGACGTGCTCACCTTCCCCAGGAAAGCGATGGCCCAAGACCTGGGCTGGCGCTACCTATATGCACGACACCCATTGAACTACCTAGTCTTGTCTTCTTCCCTCCTTCTGCCCGCCTCGTTTTTTTCCATTTGGCTAGCAACCGGAGGGAAGGACCTTGACTTTCACACCAGCTCTTGTCTTACCGCTTTGACGCTCGCGTTTTCGAAGCAGCTACATATTTATGTTTGTCTTCCTCGCTCTAGCTTCTTTCGAGACCGACCAATTACCCCGCGCAATTGCGTCGTGAGACATGACAGATGACAACACTGGCTGCCGCATCAACTTCGAATCCTGACAAGGTTTGAGCTCTCGCGGTCCGATGCAGAGCGAGAAACCCAACGAACCGTTGCCAACTCATCCGCCCCGTCCTCGAACCGAGCTAAGACGCAAGCCACTCGACAAGTAAGCATACCTGCGCTCTCACACCAAGATATCACTGCGATGTCGCTTCATTTTGTCTTGTCAAAGCCAAGCCACGCCAGGTCGCTGTGGACATCGTATCCTGGGGCGATCTCGCTGGATGATGTCGCAAGCAAACAAACACAAGACGCTGCGCCGACCTTTGACCAATGTCTTGCAGTGCATTGCCCACGCCGGCCATGTGCCCTCTGGAGATCGTCAAGATGAGCGTCATCTAGCTAAGCTTTCTCACCGAATAAGTGAGAGCCATACCTTCCGTACGGAAGCAAATCGGACCTCGTCATGAATTCCCAGTCTTTCCTCCCCGCGTAAACCAATACCGGGCAGTGCACCACCAACTTTTTCTGTTCAAGGGGCCTGCGAATAGGCATGTCGGCTTTTGGTAATCTCCCGCCCTTGTGTGACGCAGCCCGCCGGCCACCTGCGACATGATTGCACATTGGCGTTGCCCTATAGAGAGTCGTTTGGACGATTATCTAATTCAATCTTCAAATCGCGTACACCTTGACCTTTATTCCGCTTCTAGGCCAGATAGGAGTCCCCCGGCCCAATCACTTGTTCTCGACGACTACAAGATTACCGAGCAAGATCGCAACGGCATTGCGTGAGCTGGTCACAGTTGGTAGCGCGGACGGGTACTTTTCGGCCTGGACTCCCCATATGCTTGGACTCGGCGGCGTCATTGGTTCGATACCGACGCTTCATTAGCGAAACAATGATATCTTTTGTTCCGTGCGGAATCAGCTCACCCGCTTCTGCTCTCGGTTGTGTGCCGGCGGCCAGCGAGTCGGCTCAGGACCTCTCACGTCTCACGGCGACTTATCAGGCCATCTGGGTACCTATCTTCGTCGGATCTTGGATTGTGACTCAACTTTACATTAGACTCGGACGTCTTGGCGCACTGCCATCTAATGTCTTGCATGCCTGTCAGTCACCGCACAGGTCCCGACGTCGGGGACGTACACCGATCAATAACCTGCCGACATACCGGCCCTGCATCGCATCAGCAGCAGTGCCAGCACACACGAGGGGAACCTTTCAGCTACCCTACAGTGGACAGATTGGTTCATCGACGTCACGACACTGTACGTCTGGATGCCACCTCTGGCCTGAATCACTTGGATCTTTGAGCAGCCAACCATTTTGCTCTTTGCTTCCCCGTCTTCCAAGGTGTCCAAGTTCCCCGCAGCTCCCCATAGGCGCGCTGCCGGCAACACCAACAGCATCGGTGCAGGAAGTGCATGCAAGCTGACGAACCACCCAGAGAGCCGGACTATATCGGTCTACTATAGGCACAATAGCACCCAAGGCCCAAGGGGCTATTATTGAGTGAGTAGGAGCCTTCGAAAGCACCACGGGGCCCAACTCCTGCTGCTACAGGAAAAATACTTGACGTGGTCCTTCTCAAATGACGGCACAGAGCCCGGGCACCACCGAACGGCAGCTTCGAAACCCGGAGCCACAATTCTCGGGCGCGAGTCCTAAACTCTGTCCCATCCTAGGACATATGCAGGACTCCCGACTGACTCCTACACGTTGCGACGCTGTATTTGGCAACGGACCGACCGACCACCTCTGTCAGCTTCTTAAACTGCCCTCGAAATAACGCTCAAAGAGGATGGCGACATGTCCGACCCGGCCGGCCCTTGAGATTGTTGTGCTCCTGGGCAGCCCGGAATACCTCCCCGGGCCCCTTGGCATGCAACGATAACAACGGCTTGAGGATCGAGGGTCTTCAGCCGCCAACCAGCGCCCTTTGAAAGAGAGCGCCTTGCTCGAGAAGGAGGAGGCCCACGCACCCTCCGGGTTCTCGTGACCTCTGCGCGAAATACTTCCTGGCCCTGCCTCGAGAGCCGTTGTGCCGAATGACCCAGGGAAAAGGAAACTAAGGCAGTGAGGTTCCCCGATTTTTTGTTTGCCCAACCCATCGCCGCCAGCCCTGCCTACCAATCCTAGCGTCGGTCCTCCTGGCTGCCCCATTCATGAACTTCGAGAAGGCTTCTAGCGCGCGACGTGCCGATCTCTGCCGCGCCGGGGCCTTGCCGGCTGCCGCCGCAGCGCCGCCCAAGATATGCAGGCCGTCACTTCCTCGTTCACTGGCCAGCCCCCTTTCCCAATCGCTCTCACGCTCTCGTACCTGTATCTGCTTGCTGACCCTGTAGGGTGTGCTCGCTTCATGCACCGGAAACCTCCGCCTAGCCATCCGGGCCATTGGCAAGGCTCACAAGTGTCGATGGGGGCAACTGCGACTCTGATGAGGGATAAACGAGCATGCAGGCACCTGCACGGAGAGGGCGCGCGGCAAGGCGTTCACGGTTCCGCTCTTCTTCATGCTTCATGCTCAATGTGCGTTCGTCAGCTGCCCATCCGTTGTCTCTAGGTTTGGTATGAGGTTTAAAAAAAAAAAAAGGCTCTCGTGAATTTGGGTCATCAGACTCGTCACCGGACGCGTCTCTTCGTCATACAAGCTATGAACACCCATCGCATCTCCACTCATCCCGGCCGAGCTGAACCTCCTGCACCTCCTGAACCTCGCGGAGCCCACATCCAAGCCTGACCGACAACTCAATAGGGCAAGCTTCGAGAACATCTTGACGTCGATCGCTACCGATGGGTCTTACCAGTACATGCACAATCCTGCGCAATACCCACATGGTATCAAGAACGCCGTGCCCTTTGTTGAGCTTGCATGTTCGCTTCCGCCTCAGCCAACCACAATCTACTTGTATCTGTGTATAAGCCGCCCCCAACTGCAGTGCGCCTCGTGGAGTAGTTAGCCTCGCGTCTGGTTTCAACGTGGACGTTGCATGCTCCAGGACCATGGCAAATACCTCGAGTCGCAGCTCCCTTGTCGTCGCCTCCTGTGATCAGCCGCGATTCGCAGCCTGCTTGACATCAATGCTGTCAATACGCGGCCCCCAGGCTGCTGGCCCTCCGTTCTTTGTTGTTATGGTCCATTGATGCCGCCGCCGCCGTTGAACCCTTCCTCCTGAGCCCGCCCGCCTTCAACCTCCGGACGGTCTGATAGGACCTGTCTAGCTCGTTCTCAACCGCGCAACGAATACGAAGTGCAGCCACGGCGGGCCATACGCTCCGCTCCCCTCTGGAGATCCAGTAATCTAGTGTCTCCCTAGTCGGTGTCTCGAGCAGGCGCACAAAGTCGCCGGCAGTAACTTCTGGAACTAGTGTCATAGACGCTCCCGGCACCTGTTCGTCGACGAGAAAGCGCCGGATGCCTGCCGGAAGGAGGCGCAACGTGTCGAGCTGACGCAGCCGGTGTCTGAGCTCCAACCCGACCATACGAGCCAGGAATGCCGTAATTGACGTCGTGCTGTTACGCGTCTCCATGAGCGATGGGCCATGCATGTCGCTCTGCAGGAATGGAATAAGGTAAGGTCGAGCCTGGCTGACGATGAAGTGGTTCACGTTGAACAGCTCGGCGATTCTCAGAAGCGGTGACTCGCGATCCGAATACGACACGTGAGTCCAGTGATGGAAGTCGATGGTATTTGCGGGCGCCCAAGGCACGATGTTGCCATGGGCATCTTTGCAAAGAACTGTGGTTTCCCGGTGACCATAAAGTGTTGCAGTGGAAGCATTCGAAGCTACTGCGGCAGTCCAGATAAGCTTATACGTGTCAGTACGTTGCCGCTTCCTTTTTGGAGAAACCCCAGTACTTACCACGTTTGGTGCTGTCAGATAGTTGAGCAACGTCGGAACACCGCCTTGATCGGCAGTTGCAACAGTGATATTCAACACCCTCTTGCTTCGATTATACGCTTCCTCAAAAGTCAGGTCGCCCACATTGGCTCGCACGCAGTCCTCCAATACTTTCACGTCGAGGAAATAGCCTTCCCGAGTGAATCTGTTCAGCCTCCGCAGAAGCGTGTTCCATCTCGTTGCATAGGACTGCTCCTTTTGCGGGCCCTTTTCAGACTTGGATTTTCCAGAAAAGGCAGACAGGTCGATACCCTCTCCCTTGAGCACGTTGGGAAGCTCCTCTTCAGTGTGAATGGCCACCAACGCGGCAATGAGAGCACCTGTCGCGGTTCCAGTGATGATCCGCGGCAGGAGACCTCGAAGGAACAGTGCTTTGACGACACCGAGATGGCACACGCCGAATATGGCGCCGCCCTGCAGGACAAGCGTGCTCCTACCGAAAGCCTGGCGAGTGTCGTGGATGAAATCCAGCTTCATTTGGTTTGTCAATCCAACGGGTGCTCCATGAGGGTCGGAGCCAGGTGTCGTTGGCAAATGGGTGATGTCCTCGACCGCTTCAGCAATCTGCGTAATATATTCTTCTATCAGGTACTTGGTGCCGGCGAAGGACCGGTTGTAAAGGGTCGGGGCAGTGATGTTGCCAAGATTGCGAACCAGGCCGGATCGAAGGAGGTTGACCAGCTGGTTCAGGTTCCCGTCTTCTCTCGCGGTAATGAGGGAGTTGAGGCGCTCGTTGATCAGGCGGTAGTCATAGTACTTGGACGTTGGGTTATTCCTCCTGTTGCACCACGAAGCCTTTAGCATGTGCTTGTGAGACATTGACACGAGGCGACAATTTTTCTCACCACAGGTCCAGTCCAAGCAGGTTATCTAGATGCAGGGCCGCCTCTTCCCAGTCTTCGAAGGCTTCGGCATGGCGAAGGAGTTCGAGCCATAGTTCGACGGGGGTCTTGCGTGTATACCAATCGCGGAGTTTCTGCAGATGCGCATCGAGGTCAGCTGCAGTACGGGCAAGTCAAGCTATCTGTCGCTCGCGAACAAGCCCGTGTCCAATGAGGAGGCGGTGCCACGCTGCCACGGGGCTTTACAAGAAATCATCACACGTACCTGCTGCCAGAATTGCGTCACATCTACGGCCACTTGCCAGAGCGCAACGACTACTCCCATGGTTGCGCGACGGCGACTATGGTGGTGAAGACCATGGAGGATCCCAAGCTGGTGGGGAATAGCAATGCTGATGAGGATAATGACGAGTGATATTGGGCGGTCATGGCATTATGGCATTATGGGCGGGTCGAGTGAGGCGAGCGTCGTGTCTCTGATTAGGAGGGTGCTTGCATTCCAGTTCCGACGGAAGGTCGGACGGATAAGACAGGTTGGATGATAGGTAGTAGGTCGGGTAGATTGATGGGTAATTACACGGAGAGAGGGACGTCAGGTTTGCAACGTCGAAACTGGGGTTGAGGGTGACTCTCGCGGGTCTGATGAGATCGGAATTCAAGGAGAGAAGGAGCGCGCGTGCGGACGAACGAGCGGGCGAGCGGATGGTGGACACTGAGATGGAGAAGGAGAGAGACGCGAGAGAGAATCGTGTCTTTGCTGATCTGCGGGAGAGGGACGACTCGCAGCCCGTGTGTTCTTCTATGCCAAATTGGAGAAGGAAAAGGTACTTGTTGACTCGACTCGACCACCGTGCCGACGACAGGCAGCTGTCTGTGGTTTGGCTCGGCCCACGGCAATAAACGAGTAACGGATACACACGACTACGCCTGCACCTGCTTGGAAACCAGGTAGCAGCGTCCGGATCTCCCGCCGATTTCCACCTCAGCTTGACGTTCCCTTGGATGCTGCCGGATGATCTGGGGCAGGCTGCAGCAGGTCCCCCCTCCCCTGGGGATCCCCTCTCTGCCCAATTGCTGCGCTTCCAGTGCCGTGTGTTGCTGCAGTGTAGTGCTGCAGTTGCCCGCAATGCCATGGTTCATGTTGACCACGAGACCCCACCCCACACACTTGCGCTGCTTCCCGAGCTGTAAAGTTGGGGGAAGGGCGGCCAAGCTCCGTCAGCTCCTAGACTGTGCCGCCCCAATGCCCCAGGCCCCCTGAGGCAAGCTTCGACATGTGACAATGGATGCAATTTGACAGTGCAAGGTATCCGTAGCTCCGCCGTATCCAGGCTCCACGGCCTTCACGTCACCCAGGTCCCACAAGGTACTCAACATGCATTTCGGTGAATACCGAGAGATGCCATAGTGTTCGACTTTTTCAGTTTATCAAATCAGCGCAGGATGCAGAGCCCGCTGGATCATTGAGCCACAATGATGTGCTACTTGTTCGGTCCCAACAAAGTCAAATCAGCTACCAACGGTCCGGTCTGAGAGCGATGACAAAGACGAAGGTCAAACGCCGCATGTGTCGTGCCGCTTATTCGCGCCAGTCTCAGTACGGTCAAGACTCGGAGGACAATTATCACGAAGCAAACTACATGATTTGCCTCATCAGGTTCGGAAAATCAAAACTCATCGAAAGGGCTCGTCTTCCACATGCCAATCATGGATTTGAATGCAGTTACAGTCGCGGCTTGCAAGAAAGAGAATGCCCTGGTATAGTACAAACGTTGATGATCTCCGACCAACTTGAAGCCGCGGTCAAGCATACCCCTTAATCGTCGATGACCTCACTCCGAGTCGTCGTCTTCGACAACGTGACGGCGTCTTCCTCTACCACTTGGCTCCATGTTGTCATCATCATCTCCATCGGCGTCCTCGTCGTCCGAAACGCGTCGCTTCTTGGATCGTGGTGCCTCATCGAGGAGCTCCTCCTCGTCATCGTCGTGATCTACTTCACTGAGCTCGTCATCACTCGCCACAATGAAGTCGTCCTCCATATCGTATTCGTCTCCTCTGCGAGCACCAGAAGGCAGATCATCGTCAGAGTCATACTCAGGACGTCTTCTCTTTTGCTTCGGTGCGCCAGGCATGCCTCTCTTTCGCGAACCACCGGCACGTCTTCCACCCTCGAGGTCGCCAATTGAGAGGCCTCCACTGCGGCCGAAGCCCCGGCTAGCGTCCATGCGAGCAGTCTGTGTCTCCCGACGTCTCTGCATCTTCATGCGCTCTTTCTCTGCCTGCTCCGCTTGTCTAATGCGCAATTCGGGGTCTTGGATGGTGTTGATGATCATATCTTTCTCTTGAGGCTTTTGCGATATCGACGCCATGCGCTCAGCGAGTGCGGCGAGAGCGTCGTCCGCCACTTCCTTTCCGGGTCGTACAATATACTGATCGGTAACATGTCCAACGAACATGAGGAAGTTACTGGTCAACTCCGCCGCGGCGGCATAGTAGTGTCCATCCTGAAGCTCAGAGTAGGGTTGGTCAGGGCCAGGAGCCAATGCCTTGTTCGAAACTTCAAAATGCTCGTCTCCGACTGTCATTGTCACAGAACCATCGCTCCATCTGTGAATCATGGTGTTGCTTTGCAGCTTGTTTCCCTGCCTTCGGACACGGATGTCGGCCTTTGGTACGTCGGCTTTTGCGTTCTCGATATCGTGCTCAGTGGGCTCGAAAGTGTCGGGATCATAAATCGTTGGAATGATTTTCATGAATTTCGGGACGCGAAGAGATCGTAGCTGATCATTGTCAGCGCCTGCCGGGTGTACTCAACTTTTCCATTAACTCACTCTCTGGTCTTTCGCCTTGGGAATGCGATGACGCTGCATCTCAACAGCCTCGATGACCTTCGTCTCATAATCAGCGGGTAGTGGGGCCTCGTCATCTCTACCATAGCCGTCTCCCTCATCTTGGTCGGATGCGTCTTCGCGTTCGCTGCCGGCGCGACTCCGGTCTTCTTGAACCTCATCTGCTGGCGCGTCACCAAAGAGATCCTCCTCCTCATCCTCGGGAAGCTCGTTCAATTCTTCCGAATCTGACATGACGGCGCTGGTTTTGCTACGGGCAATGGAGTGTGTTTGATATGGAAGGTTGGGGGTCAATTGGGCGTTGTTGGTAGGTAGGTAGCCCAGCTTCTTTCCTGTTGCGCAGAAGAAGATGAAGAGTGAGGCTTGAGAGATCCCTGCCCAAATTCTGACCCACTTGCAGCGACCTGAGTTCAAGTACCTATCGATGAGGCTGAGGCACCGCCACACTTGCTTGCAGTTTCGGTATATACGCCAGCTAGAGTGGATACTTCCCGGGGTAGTCGCTGGAAGAAATTTGCAATATCTCCAAATAACCTTGTTCCTCTTTGTTTTTGAGGAATGGAGATAGAATAACAACCAAGTTGTGCATTTCATCTCCCAACCTCTTTTGCGCCACACGAGGCTGAGAAACGTTCCTTCCTTCGCATCTACCTTAGGTAGCGCGAGCCCAATGGCGATGGAGCCATACCATTCGGACCCAAATGCTGTGGGGATTAGGCCCGTGCGCTCGCTTAATGTGACAATTCAAGTCTAGCGTTTCTTATGCCGCTACTCCTCGTGGATGCAGGAGCGAACGTTGTCCGAAGAAGCTCACCTTCAATCGCCCCTTTTCAGCTTAACCCTCTGTCCTTGCTCGATATCCGATCATTTTCGATTATCAAACGGACTGAACTCGAATCAGCAGAGCTGAAACTCGACGGTCCCAGCCTCTTTACTCTTCCCAGGAGGTGCGCCGGTCGACCCAACTTTATAACCCCATCCGACTCCCCCTCACCGCGATACTTCCTCTTATCATGTCGAACCTCTTTTCAGGAATGTGAGTTGCCTTTCATTGTCTTTCTGTTGCTATCTGTTGCTTTTTGTTGCTTTCCAATATGCGAATTGTTTCTTTCCCCTTCCCCTCATTGTTCTTTGCATGATGGAAAGAGGGAGAACCCATCGAGCGATCTACGGCGGCTGCATAGCAGACAGCTGTGAAGTTTGATTTCTCGGCTAGTGCCGCAGCAGCCCGTACTTTGGTACATGCAACACGGCCCGGCCACCACCGCCGAGACATGGGGTGCATCATCACACATGAAGGCATTGCCAGAACATCCGCTATGAAGATGCGAGCCAGACCTGGGCATTCGATCGGCATGCTTCGGGTCCTGTCGACGGTTTCTTGTTCGAGGATGAGGAGCTATCGAATTCCTCCCTCAGCTATGTTCGACATTACTGCTGCCGCCATATGTCAGGCTTGGAATCATCAGTCACAGAAATATGTGTGAGGTCAGTGGAGAGTGGATGCTTTGATTGCCTTTGGTTGCAGCATTGCCCTTTGCCAATCATTCAGCTCGGCTGCCAATTGCGAAATACATCCTCAACTTTAAGCGGAAAGAGAAACAGGTGGCAACAAGAAACCCAGGCATATTCGAAACCATCAGCGTGGTACAACCAACACAAAACATCCGGATACACGCAATGGACAGCAACGAACTCAAAGCCAAGAAACCGTGTCTCCAATTGGAAGGTCTTGATTGACCGACTCTGCTATCATGCCAAAGCCGTACCCAACAACCACGGGAGCCGGACTGGATGTTCACCACGCCTGTGTTTCGTTTGAGTGAGCAGGACTTTCCAAAGAGAGGAGGACGGATCACTGCTGGAAACAAGATGAAAGTCTCGAATCCCTTCATCATCTCCCTGACAAAGAGCGCAGCAAGATGCATCTTGATCCTTCACCGCTCCATGACACCCAGATAGTTGTCTGGTATGGACCCGCCCTCACGCACATGTTCAGACCTGCGCCTTCCTCACATGATCATCTTCATCAGCTCGAGGCTCTCGAGAGCAGCACATTTTTACTACCCTTGGATCCGATCCAGCCGGGCAATCTTAGCCTATCTTCCAGAAACTACGACACTTCCAAAAACCCGCGGACTCTTTTCCTCCAATTAACCTTTTCCCCCCCAAATAACTTCATCAAACACTATATTCGCGAAATATTTTAATCTCAAAACCATTAGTAGTGCCTTGTGGCCTCGTCGGCACAGGTCTCAGACATCCCTTCCATTACCAGAATAAGCCTCTGGGACGCGCAGATGCCGTGTCTCAGTCAGGTCCTCTCAACATGGATGGAGCAAACCCTTGAGGCCTGGTACCCCTCGGTAGCTGGCCTAGTGGTCGGCGTTACCATCATGCTCGACTCCTTTCTATGTCTTGGAGTGTTGATTATGGTCGTGAGATTCCATCAGCTAACCAGACGCCGATGAATAGCAACGCCCGCTTCCGGGGCCAAGCCGCCAAACCGCCTGGCTCGAACAAGTCTCCGACATCCTCAACCGTCGGTCAGCCTACGTCACCGACCGTTTCTCAGGGAAGCCAGTCATCTACCAACTTGGCTCCTAAGGTCCCGCCTCTGCCCAACTCTCCTTCCCTCGCCCATTCTATTGGCATGGACGACCAGGGCAGCTTGTCCGACGGCGACGGCCTCCTCGGCTCCTACCATTTGCCGCGGCCTATGCCCGTCTGGCTGAACTCAAACTACGGCAAGCATATCGTCAAGGGTAACTTCATGACTTTGAGTGCGAGACCAAAGACGGTTGAACAAGGCGAGTGGATCGCTCATCAAGGTATGTATTTATTCTTGCTCCTATATACCTGGTAGCTAACCATTATAGTGGTCGAGCACTACCGCAACCTCTGGAACTTCGTCCGTGTTCTCCACGAGAAGGAGGAAGATGGCTCGACGATCTGCAACGGCACTACGTGCCCCAGAATGTCCGCTGGAGCGTAAGTCTCGCTGACATCTTGATTCGACACGATCTAACCCCTCGCAGGAACCACTCATTCACTTGGCTCAACAGCCGCCGTGAGCCTGTCGAGCTTCCTGCCTACGAATACATGACTCTTATGCAGAGATGGATCTCGGGCAAGATTGACGACACCAATATCTTCCCGACGGACCCCTCGGGCGTCTCGTACGCTCACAATTCAAACATCACTACCACGCCACTTTCGCAGCTCACGAACCCCGGTGAGCCCGACTGGATCGGCAAGCGATCAGGTTTTCCCCAGAACTTCATCGACGTCTGCCAGACCATCTTCCGCCAGATGTTCCGCGTCTACTCTCACCTCTACTGGGCTCACTTCACGGAGCCCTTCTACCACCTCAACCTCGAGAAATCTCTCAACAGTTGCTTCAGCCACTTCATCTTGACCGCCACGGCCCTCGACATGCTCAAGCCTCATGAGCTCGAGCCCATGCAGCCGCTGATTGACCTTTGGGCCGCCAACGGCACCTTCCCACCCGAGTCCAAGGCTTACGAATATGCCAACCTTCGCGCTGGCGAGCGCCTGATGCAACTTGCCGGCGTTTGATAGGCAATTTATGCACACGAGTCGGGCACGGCGGTTAGGAGCATCGAACCTGAACAGATGATGGCCGTTCCACTGTGCCTTTCAGCATATCTGTTTCTGGAAAGCTTGCTTTTGGACTCATCTGACAACTTGGTTCACGCTCTTACCACAGAAAGCCTAAGAAGCAAACGGGGTTCAGAGCCAAACACGACAACAAGAAGAAAACTAAGGGAACGCTTTTTTAAAACACAAGCACGCATTGCATTTGCAGCAGCCCCGGGAGAAAAGAGAAAGAACGGGCTGTATATTGGAGTTTCGGATTTGCTACGAGGCCAGGCAAGGTCTTGAGTCACACCATCAAGAGAGGCGATCGACCAATCGTCACGCATGGGAATGGCCATTGGGGTTGGGGGGGGGGGGGAGGGAAGACTCAGAAAGAGAAATTATTGGTAGACGACGATTCCATAAACAAATCACAGTTGACTTGACGGGATGATATTTTTTGATCCATCGAAAGTGAAAGAGGAATGCTCAAGCGTCCACTTCGCCATTTCTGTAGTTGATCTTACCAAAGACACTATGAACCCTAGAAGGTCCGACGATGCCATGTCGGGTGTGGTCAGCCGCAGCTGGCTGGGAATTCACAATGTACAGTTTTCGCTCATCCTTGACTCTGGGAGAAACTCGACTTTGATGGTATAAATCCTGTTAGTGACTATCTCGCGTGGTCAATTTCGAAAATAAGAGTAGACTGCTGCATGTTACTGCATGCCATCAGTCGTTACACAAGCAACAATCTACACAAGTCTTACTGGTCCAATAAATAACGTCTTAAGCGGCGCTGAAGTTTACTTCACGTCGATAGAGAGACTTATGGCTCGTTCACTTGGGTCCTCTTGGACAACCATTTTCTGTCAGAAAACTTTTATGACTGGAGTCGCCTACTCCTCCTACGCGTCGAGTTGCATGGAGAGTTCCGCATATTGCCGGCCCTTTTTAATCGAAAACAGCGAGGTGTCGACACAGTCAAGCATAACTAGTACGATCCTCTGGAATATCTCACTCTGTGTGTTAGAGATACCTGTATATAAAAGGGGGTGGAATTTCTGGTTGTCATTGACTTGGAGTCAACAACAGTCTCGTAAAAGGGTTCAGAATCTTGTCCTTGGACCTACGGCCAGTTGCTGTGTTTGGTTCCGGCCGCTCAGACAACTGATATTCCATCTGTAAGTACTGGAAGGCCTGGGGGATGTCTCTTCCTAACATGAATACCAGAAGAAAACATCATGCCACGGTGACGAGCCTATCACAGGCAACCGCATGCTTCTCTTTGTGCTCGAGGACCGTGGCGGAAAACCTACTGGCTTACACGTTCTGCTGTAATCCGAAATCCAGTAACCTAGACCAAAACTCACAGGGCCCTCCTTTGGCCTCTGGATGGGTCCTTTGCGATGGTATTTCATGAGACGGTCAGCTGTCAGTGGGAAAAGACCGGACATGACGGAACCTAAATTTTCAACATCGGACGACGAAACCGTTTTCAAAACCGTCGCGCCTGTTTCTCCCGTCCTCACCCTCCCTCTCGATGCATCTGAAGAGCGTCAACATGTCACGGATCTCACGGCCAGCAGCCTGCAGCCGTATCCAGAGCAGAGGAGCTTGAGTGGATTCTAGTA